TGTTTGCCTAACAAATATGTTATAATCCTTAGTTGAACAACTTTGCTTACCTTCTTAATCTCCTCTTCAAACCCTTTCTCCAGGTACTTGTAACGCCTGATCAGCTTGTTAAAAACCTACAGCATAAGCCAAACATGTTCACACATGAAAAAAAAGGAAGCTAATTAGTTTGCAGTAGTGATATTAATGTAAAACAAGCCCCGTAATCTGAGACTTTTCTCCAGATAGGCAGGATTGAATGGTGGATACCTGAGCGTAAGCCTGCATGGTCTCCAGGTCTTCACTTGCCGTGAAGAGGCAGTACTCCGTACGAGTCAAGTCATCAGAAAGAGTCCCTCCCGGGGCTGAGGAAAAAACACAATTGTTTTTTCAGCCAAAAATGGTCATTTACTCGTCCTCCCAATTGATTTAAAGCAATTCGATTCTTGTTTCTATTTACACAAAGGAAGATATACCTAAAAATAGCATCAACTGAGATCTATAGGAAGTTTTGTTCCTACTATGGATGTCAATTACTTTTTTTCCCAAAACTCAATATATTGTTTTCAACAGAATAAATAATTTTAAAAGTATGGTAAACTTGTTTAAGTAAATTTCAATTTACGAGTGATCATTCATTTATTGCTATACATTAATAAAGCCATATACGGCAACTTACCCAGCATTCCTCCAGCCACCAGGATGTCGAAGAGTGTCTCAGCATACCGACGGTAGTCGAGCTTGGCGCCGGAGGCATCAAGAAACTTTGCAACCGCTTCCAAATCAGTGCCAGTTTGGTTCAAGCCTTGAACAATACTTTCTTGAAACTGAGAAGGGTCAAATCTCTCCTTTTCATCTGCAAGATGCAAAAATGTTTTACAATGAGCTGCAATACTTCCACATAATTAATCAGGGCTGCACAATATATCATTTCAGCATTGATTATGCAATCTGCAATAATCATATTCTCATGTTAGGATTAACAGAACAGGATCTGATCTAAGACGTTAAAACCTGTCATTTTTTACTATATTATTTGTTTAGATGCGTTTAAGGCCCGTTACAAAATTTGCAAGGGAGTTTAAACTTTTAGGCCATTAATTAAAGTTTAAGACTTAACAAATATTGTATTTTTTATACAATGAAGAGTATATGGTGGCTTTTTACATGATTGAATTTTTTAACTCAACTGCCATCAGGGTTTCTGCAGATTTCACACAGTTAAATGTAAGACTTTTAAAGACCATTATGAATTAAATTGTAGACTTATAAAGGTCTAAAAAAAAAAAAAAAAAAAACTTTTTAAAAGGCCCAGATGGAAAAGATTTTTATTTGCCCTTTCCAAAAAATATAACTTAATACATTTAAATATTTTAGATAGGATTTCCTAGCCAAATATTTTAAATATTGTTTAAAAAAACACACACACACACACAAACTCTACTTGTATCCATACACTTTTTTTTCCCAACATAAACCTTTTTTATTAAAAAAAAAAAAAGTAAAAATTAAAAAGTATAATAAACTAAATCTGTGCACAACTATCTGTCCAGGTCGGCATCTTTAGCAGTAAGTACATAAAGAAATTTTAAACAAATGTTACTGTAAAGAAAACAATACAACATTTACAATAGAGCTAAAAATTGGCCTTTTATATAAACAGTTTCAAGTTTTGAGATAAATGTTGGTGATTATGGCCAGATTTGGTAGCAATACATTAACAAAGGAAAATTAAGACCCATTTAAAAAGGATTTAAGACCAACAACACAATTTTTCAGTAAATTGAAGACTTTAAGGTCTAAAATTTGGATTGAGATTGAAGACTTTATAAGACCATTATACTTCAAAACCATAAAGCACTATTTAATGTATCCTGGTATTCATTTTATATGCGCTTTAATTTTTATATAGTTTTGTATATTTTATGCAGGTTTTTGTAATAAAAAAAAATAAAAAAGTAAATTTATGAACTCTTTGATTAGATTCACTTGTCATCATGTTAATTTAAATTCATGTCACAATAAATTATTTGTTTTTTAATGTTGTGCAGCCCTAATACATTTATATATATACACACACAAGTTATTATTGTAAGCTATAAAACAAGACACTGCATGATTCCCCTTTGGCCACAGTTTAACCAAATTAAACTTTCCGTTTTTATCCATTGCAACAATTTTTGGCCAAAATAAAAATGCTTTTTCTGCCAGTTCTATTTTGAATCACATCGATTATCGTTGTTTTAAAATGGCAAAACACTATTGAAGTGAACCATCATTTTTTTCCCCAGTTTAAATGTAGCAATAAAGGGTCGAATGGTTCTTTGGTTGCTTACCTCTTTTCCGAGTTTTAAAACGCTGGCCGGTAAGCGTTGGCTTTTGCTGCTTTTGATTATTCATAAAAGACACCTATTAAAAGAAAAAAAAAAAGAATATTAGTGAATATCAAGAAAGTGCACAACGACCACATGGGGATGTGGCAGCAAAACGTACGTCATTTCCAAACCTAATATAAGATGGCAAAAATAGAATGTATAATTCTTAACATTAATAAACCCTATACATTGCGTTAACTATTAATAAAACTGGTTAACGTTATATACTCACATATCCAGTTAACACTAAAACTGTATCGTTAACGTTAAATGACCAACTAATGAAAAGCGTAATCTTATTTCACGTTGTCTCGCTACCAAATTGTATTATATAACCAAATTTATAAACATTATTTACATAAACTGGTAATCTAAAGTATTAAAAAAAGCATTCAAGTAACGTTATAATTTTAAAACGTATACCGTCAGAACCGCAACTCACGCGCCGGTGTCGCGCTAAAGCTAACCGGCTAAAACGAGGCCTAATGTCAACTAATGTTTCAAAAACACAAACAATAACCGTTTTTAATGATTTCAAATTTAAATGAACGAACAGCCAACAATTGAGAAATATACGACGTCAAAATGAAGCTAATGAAGATTCTATTGTTTATATTTAATCGTTTTCATGTGGCGAGCTCCGCCATCATGATTTAAACAGCTGATCACAAACGTGAGTCCAAAAAAACTGGCATCCTACAAAAACACGGATTTACAACAACTCAACATTAGGACGAACACTTTTAATACATTTATATAAAACGTATGACAGTCTTACCGAAATGAATGCAGATAAAAAACGGCTTTTTGAACCCAAGAACAAAGCAAGACAATGGCAGGTCCGAACCCGACACACAAACTCTCCCGGATGGTAAGGGACTGCTGCGCCTGCGCAGAAGAAGAACTGTGCAAAAAACAATGGACCAGTCTATTACAGGGAATTGCGGGGGCTAAAATGTTTTATACAAACGAAATAGCGTAAATTGTACATTCAAAACTTTTTATTCGTAAATAAAAATGTGAAACAGCATATAACAGTCAAAACTATACTCGTGTCAAAACACATTTGGAAAATGGTAAAAAGATCACCCCTCCCTGCCGACAGGGATTCGCAATTCCGAATCTACTCATACCATTGTAAAGCGGGGTGTGATTTCTTTATCAATCACCAAAGAGCAAACTATAATAAAGTTTTTTTTTTTTTCTTTTGTGAGGTTAACTCACAAAACGTTGTTTATTATCATTCTAGATTACGTACTAAATATAAACGTATAAAATACTATGACATAATGATTTAACCATGTCATTTATGAATAAAAAAGGGAATATTATGTATATAATTTGAAAACATATTTGAATGATGTACAGGTCCACCTATACATTATAATACTAATCTCTGCTCTCTCTTCCATGCTCTTCAAAATGGTTCTCAGTTCTCTACACCAATAGATGAACACATCGAACCAACAAACACACATTCACTTACATCATTCTTTCTCCTCTCAGAGGCAGAAATGTCATATCCCTATGCATTCAATTGGACCATATGCTATCTCAAAGACTGTATGCTTTAGGGCTAGTTGAATAATAGTGAATAATAAGTGTTGGTGGGTGGAAAATCATACCACGAGGTTTAAACACCCTTGTTTCCTCCTTAAATCTCATTTAAGCTTAAGACACCTAAAAAAAGGCAAATCAAAAAATAACACTGGCTGTGACACTTATAGGCCAGTGTTAAGTGGGCTTTAGCCTTTAGCCTTATATTCTTAATATCCATAATCCTAGCTAATACTTAAAACTACCACAACAATACATAATAACAAGAAGCAAATTAAGAGCTTATTGAAGCAAAAATCATAAAAAATAATTCAATAATAGTGAGAATTATACCTTAAAATAAAGTTTGACTGATGCTGTTTTATGACGTTACGTGTTAAGATAATACGTGAGCAACACCCTGTTTTATTTATTAATAAGCCATTATACTCTCAGGGATGCCCGAACTTGGTCCTGGAGGGCTGGTGTCCTGCAAAGTTTAGCTTCAACTTGCCTCAACACACCTGCTTGGAAGTTTAGAGCTTGGTTAGCTGGATCAGGTGTTTCAAATTGGGGTTGAAGCTAAATTCTAAGGAGACTAGCCCTTTAGGACTGAGTTTGGGCACCCCTGCTCTACATAATGCAATAAAATAATTCATAAGTCCTAACAGGAGATTTTCAAAATTAGCAATGACTTTTGATCAACAGTTATAGCCTACAGTCAACTTCACATGTAAATTCGTAGCCGAAGTAGTTCCTCAAGGGGTTTTAAGACATTTTCATAAGACGTTTTTAATTTTTGTTTACCCACTTGTGCCATCAAACTATTTTATAGATGCAATGTTACTCCCAAAGCCCTGCAATGTGGTTATATATGCAATACAGCACTGCCAATGCACTGCCATATTGCATCGCTATTCATGTGATATTGCATTATTGAACTGTTATGTTACCAGTAGTTGAAAAAAACACTTTATTCACGCATTCCTGTATTTTAACCATGAAAATGAAGGCAAAGCATTTAACATGTGATATCAGTCCCTTCACCGCTCATTCAGCTGATTGTCAGTAAACCAGGAGCATCTTCATTGCGAACCTTCTCATCTCACCATGTCTTCTCTATCTGTGAACAGTGAACTTGTCTTCTACATCAATGGCAAAAAGGTATGTTTCCATTACAGATACTTCTACTTGAATCATGTTTACAGAAATAGATATATTTAATACGTTTTAATTGTGCAGTCTCTTTGACTTTTTATTGTGCTAATGGATTACAGTTCATAATATTATTAATATACCATGGTGGCTTTACATGTATGTTTATGAATAAATGTGAAATTAGAGTTCAATTTGCTGCTAAGAAAGCAGATTTTATTATTATGACTTCTAAAGGGAGTAAATGTGCATTTTTGAGTTGAATCACATTCTTATAGTCAACATAAATAACCAAAGTTCACCAACAGGAAATGGCGTGTCCAACCGTGCTTATCAGAATTGTGGCACATGACAGTCAGCAGGCCACCGAGCAGAATCATTATTCCTCTCATGATGACGCCATGAAAATGATTTTCTATGCTTTACACATGTTCATTCATCTCACACAAATACAGGCTTAAACTCTTATATCATTGATGTTCATCTATTCTGATATTTTTAGTATCTCTGAGAAGTCTTCAATGATAAAAACAATTTCTAAACCTAACATAAACCACCAAAGATGCCAAAATTATAATGTAATTCTTAACATTAATAAACCCCATACCCAAACCCTTTAACTTTTAATCAAACAAGTTAAATATTCACATATCCAGTTAACGCTGAATCTATAACGATAATTTATCAACTATTAAAAAGTGTAAGCTTATACTTCATGTTGTCTCGCTACCAAATTTGCATTATATAAACATCAATTTATAAACATTTACGTAACCTGGTGTACTAAAGTATAAAAAGTATTCAAGTATAATTTAAGAAACGTTTTGAGTCAAACAGCAACAAAATTGATATTCATGACAGTGATTTTGGTTTCTTAACAGATAGAAAATTCTGAATACATCTGTTACAACAGTTAAAACAAAAAATTGTGCTATATTGTATTTAGTTTGTGTTTCTGTTGTTTGTATGTACAGATCGTGGAGAAGAATGCTGATCCAGAAGAGATGTTACTGGCTTACCTCAGAAGGAAAGGTAGGGTTATTTTTTATATGACAACTTTTCTCAAAATTTAGAGAAGTTTAATTTCTATAATATTTCATGAACTATATTTTTACATTCAGCAGATGCCCTAAAGAAGTGATGGTAAAAATTAATTTACTTGATAGAATGATTGGGAGGACTATTAAATTAAATTTCTTTTGCTTTCTCTCTTGCATTCAAAACGTGCCAATAATGTATTGATAAAAGATTCTGGAAAACACTTTATTGAGCCTGCACAGTCAATTTTTTTAAAAACTGTTCATTTGTTTTTAGGATTAACCACCATGAAATGCACATTAGCTACACTAAAGCAAACCAATGAGAGCTCAGACCAAAGGCTGAGAAAGATCAAAGAACCAGAAAAACTCCCATTTAAAGGAGCTGCAGTCCATTTTTAATTATATACCATCAACATAAAGATGTATGACATTTCAGATAAAATAAACAATTACCCAAAACATTTTTCTCAAATTAAAAAAGTATAATGACAACAAAAACAGATTTTTCCAAGGAACTCTACATTGGCTTCCAACTATGTTAGATGACAAAAAATTATAGCTTGCAAATATGTTGGGAAAAAACTAAATTCCAGTGCTTTTGTTTCTTGGAAGAATGCAAATTTTTGCTAGCAAATTGAAAGTTTTAAGAGCTAAAGCAAACATAAACCAATTCCTCCATTGTTTCATTACTATGTGCGCTTTTAAGTTGCGATAAGGTTTTAAAATTCTGTTAATTCTGTCATCACTTAATCACCCTGTGCTTGTATGATTGTTAAAGATAAGATCTATATTGAAATGTTAACTAAATGGTTAACAAAAGCCATTAACCTAAATGGCTAACATGCATAGTAACAAAAATTTGTCAGATTTTCTGTTTCATCCAAAGAAATTCTTACAGATTCTGTTTAAATTGGGAATGCATATTTTTTGTTGAATTGTTCCTTTAACTAACATATAACAATTTACATTTATAGTCTATTTGTAAGTGTGTGTAGTGTAATGTAATATGTGTAATTGTAGTAAATCATATCATTTCTATGCTTATGTGCTCTTTCTGTATTCAGTCGGTCTAACGGGCGCAAAATATGGCTGTGGTGGAGGGGGGTGTGGAGCCTGCACTGTGATGGTGTCCAGATATGACCCTCTCCAGGACACCGTGCTGTATCTTTCACCAATACATCAAACAAGCAGCATTAAAGCTTTAAATGAAACAAACTAATGAAAGACATGTTTTTTAACATAATTTATCTGAAAATAGTTTCAACATGAATCAACATAAAGTTATTATTTTGGGGTGGCACAGAGGCTCTAAAGTCATTAGTTTAAGCCCCACTAAATCTGGTTTCATCTATACATGTTTTTTCTATTTATTTACAGTTTGAGTTGAATTATTGGAACATTATGGGAACATCTCTGCTCTGTTGATTTTTGATGTTGAAAATTTGACTGTCCATTTTAACACTGTGACTTTATTGACGTTTAATACTCTCAGAAAAAAAGGTACAAAACCTGTAATTGAGGCAATACCTTTTCATAAGGTGCACTTTTTTACCATAAAAGTCCACATGTGTGCATTTTAAGGAAAATATTAATATATAAAAATAAATTAATAATAGTTTAATAATACTTAAATATTCCCAGGGATGGATAACATGCTGGATAGGTTGGCGGTTGATTCCGCTGTGACAGCCCCGTGTTAATGAAGGGACTAAGCCGATGGGAAAATAAATGAATGAATAATACTTAAGTAATAAAGATACATTTTTTAATATATATTTTTATTTTGACCTTAAAGCAACACAGAGCTGTACAAAAATTAATAACAGTTATAAAGAAAGAAAAGAAAAAAAAGACAAAAGACAAAAAAAAAAGGGATTTTAACACCATTATTACATCAGTTTCTCTATATTATACATGGGTTAACAATGTTAAACATATATATCTAGGTCAGTGGGCACCAGTAATATGGTGATCTTGCAGATAATGACAGGGTTATACATTTAAAATGTTGTCCTTGGCATTTAACAGATAAAAAAAAGGTTTTCCAGGTGCCTTTGAAACCAGCAATGCTATCAGAAGGATTCTGTCTAAGTCTCTCTAAATATAAAGTGCTAGAAGATTCTGAAAGCCAGGATTTAAAAAGTGGTTTTGATGCCTTTTTCCATAGACAAAGAATAATGTTTTTGGCTATCACCATTCCATATTGGACAGCTTTTTTTTTTTTTTTTTTAATTTGATGACTGAACAAAAGTGAGCCAGACCAATCAAAAACAGCCATTGCCGGATCAGGTGTGAGCTCACAAGAACCAGCCTTAGAATAGAATTTTGCTCTAAAAAGTTTTGGGCATGATCAAAAAAGATCTAAGAAGTCCTAACAAGGCTTCCGCAGATTCACATTTGTTACATTTAGAGGAGATGGAGGGGTAGAATTTAATAAGCTTAGCCCTAGAAAAATGTAGCCACTAAAGATAGTTTAATAATAATAATTTCCATTTATTACAATTACATTCCAGGTCTTAGAAACATTGTGACAATATCTCCAGGACATATTGTTAAATCAAAAGCTCTGAGTACACATTCTGTGTGCTTTTAGTAAATGCAATCTGGGGCAGGTACAAACTGACATTAATCTTTAACAATGCTGTCAAGACAGACAGCATCTACTGTGAATGCTGTACAACGTCATCCACCATTTCAGCTTAATTTGTCACTTGACTAAAAATGTGTCATCATATTTGAAGGCCTCCATTTTCAGTTAAAACTGCAACCAGAAAACTATTTAAAATGTATCCACTTTGCAGAACATTTTCAAAATGATAATTTTTTTTTGTTGTTGTTCCTAAAATGCATGTTGTGTCCAATGATACATACTTTCATTCTTTATAGCAGTGTTTCTCAACCAGGTTCCTGGAGGACCACCAACACTGCATGTTTTCAATGTCTTGTTTGTCTTTCAGTCTCTGCTAATGAGCTGATGGTCTAAATCAGGTGTTTGGTGGTGCGTGGTTGAGAAACACTGCTTTATAGTATGCAAAAACAGTATGCAAGCTGAGTAGTATGTCCAAATTCATAGAATTCGAAAAACAGTATGCAAGAAGTGATGGCCTAATGCTTTTGGATAGATTCTGAAGTGCGCGCCTGATAGATGCTACGCTATCCCATGATGCCATGTGAGAGAATTTATAAATGGGAGTGAAGTGTGTAGAACATCCGAGTTTCATTCATACTACTCACATTTGAACTAGATAGAACGTACTTTTCTGATGGTTGTGTAGTAAATTCAAGTTTACCTACTGAGAAGTAGGCCATTTTTAGATCTTACAGTCTAAAGATGTGGTAAATAACAAATTGGATAAATAAATTGGCCAAAGTGTGTGGGTGTTTCCCAGCACTGGGATTTGGAAAAGCACTTTCAGAGCTGGTTTGCAGCATGGGCATCCACTGTTGTGGTTCATTCTACTCTGCAAACCCCAGATAAGGAAGCATGTTAACTGAGGTGAAGAGCAAAAATGTTAGTGTGATCCTTAACCATTCTTAAGTCACTGGTCGGTGAATGCCTGTCTTCAGCCGATTTGTTCTCTGCATGGTGCGGCAGTGGTGACCGTAGAGGGCATCGGAAGCACCAAGACAAAACTACATCCAGTTCAGGTACACAAACTGTAAATCAACTTTGGGTGAGTACAGCCTAGAACAAACCATTGTTGGATTTACATATGTGTGTATTTGTGTGTTGATCAGGAGCGTATAGTAAAGGCTCATGGGTCTCAGTGTGGCTTCTGTACTCCTGGGATGGTGATGTCCATGTATACATTACTGAGAAACAACCCACATCCCACCATTGAGGACATTCGAGAGACACTGGGAGGTAGCATACATATACAATTTGTAAACACTCATAAAATTACACATTCTGAATTAATATATTGGTCAAACTTTATGATAAGGTTCAATGAACTATGGCTTTTGCTTCAATATACTCCTAATTTGCTGTTTATTATAGTCATTGGGATTAGGTATTAGATACGATAGGGATGTAGAATAAGGTCATGCTGAAAATTTACTTAAAAGTACTAATGACCATATAATATTTTAATAATATGCATGCTAATAAGTAACTAGTTAATGGTGAAAATTGGTCCCTGTGTTACCAATATACTTAAGTTTTAACATTCATAATAATTTGAACATTCTGTTTTCTCACTTCTAAGGGAACCTGTGTCGTTGTACGGGATATCGACCAATAATCGATGGATTTAAAACATTTTGTGAAGTAAGGGCTGTTAACACGTTTTATGAAATAAACATGTATGAAATGACTAGAGGACAAAAAGTTATCTATTTTGTTTCAGACTCCAGTTTGCTGCCAAAATGGTGGTGGCAATGGAAAATGTTGCATGGAAAACGGCAACTCTCACAACGAATCTGATGTAAGACAATATTAGCCACATATCCCTACAATTTCCAGCACATGAGCACTCATTAAAGTACAATTCATTATTTATTTAAAAAGACAGAGACTGGTTACTGTAGGTTATTAACTCTTCTACTACTTTGGTATCATTGGTAGATATCTGGAGAACTTTTCATCATGGATAATGTCTTACCCCTGGACCCAACTCAAGATCTGATCTTTCCACCAGAGTTACTGGTAAGTCATTTGGTAGCTTAGAAGAACACAGACTTCTCAGGCCACTAAGTTGTGCTATATCTCTACTTTCCATCAGATTATGGGAAAGAAAAAAGCAGAACGACATTGTTTCCAGGGTGAAAAGGTCAGGTGGATTTCACCATCAGATCTAAAAGATTTAATCAAGCTGAAAGCTGAACACTCTGACGCACCTCTGTTGGTTGGAAACACAACCATAGGTTGGTTTCAAGAGGAAGTTCATCCAACCATATACAGTATCAATCTCTACTAACCTTTTCTGTCCTCCTACAGGGCCAAAGATGAATCTGAACAAAACTGTCCATCCATTGGTGATCTATGGTGGAAGCATTGCAGAACTTCAAGCTATCAAATGGAGAAAAAATTGTAAATAATGTTACAACTATTATACAAAATCAACGAACATTGTGCCTAAAAGTAAATGAAACAATGTTGTTTTGTTCAGGCATAACTGTAGGGGCAGGATGCAGTTTGTCTGTTTTGAAGGATGTTCTTCAGCAAAGAATTGAGGATCTTGGACCAGAGAAGAGCAGGGTTTACCAGGCTCTCGTTCAGACACTGCAGTGTTTGGCCGGCAAACAGATTCGTAACATGGCTGTAAGTAACAAAAACAAGTGAGACATTTATAAAAACAGTAGTGCTGGAATATATATGTGACCCTGGATCACAAAATCAGTCATATATGTGACCCTGGATCACAAAATCAGTCATAATAGTATTGTAACATTAAAGCTAAGGTAAGCTGTTTATTTCCTACAATGTGCTCCATGACGCTGGGGGTCGCACACTGTAAGTGAAATTTGTGCTATGATTACTTGTCTATTGTACTTGTTTATGTTACAATTTTGTTTATGTTGTAATTTCAAGACCATTGGTGGAAATATCCTGAGTGCCAACCCCAAGTATGACCTGAGCAGCATTTTAGCAGCAGCTGAGTGTACGCTACACATTGCTTCAAAAGGTAATAGCAGTTGAATTGGTTATAATTGTCAGCATATTAAACACATTTTAAAACTTTTGGGCTCCCTTTGTTCTTAAATACAGATGGTGATCGAGAGATTTGTCTAAGTGAGGAGTTTTTCACAGACTTTGGAAAAACAGCTCTACGACCTGAGGAGATTCTGCTGGCTATTGACATTCCTCATTCAAAGCCGGTATGTTCTTGAAAATGGAGGACGCATAATAAAATAAATGCTAAAACTAAAGCCTTAGGCAAAATCTGACAGGTTTCCTCAAACATATTTCAAAGCTAGTAGTCTCATTACATCTATTATCATTTTGCCAATTTGAAAAGCTAACCCCTAGCAAACACCTGTGTTTTTCAGTGGGAGTTTGTGTCCGCATTTCGCCAGGCACAGCGCAGAGAGTTCGCTTTCTCCATAGTGAATGCTGGTATGAGAGTGGCATTCAGACATGATTCAAATGTGGTGGAGCATCTGGATATTTTTTATGGAGGCGTGGGTTGCACTCTGGTAAAAGCCAGACACACCTGTAAGGAACTGATTGGAAGGTACAGCCATCTTTACAAGGCCTATATGATTTATATTGAAACAAATGACAGAATAGACTCTTACCTTTTACTGAAGGTAATGGAAACATTGGTTATAAATCCTTATAAAAGCCAATCATGGAACCTTAAAGAATCTGGTACCTATTTTTTTTTTATGTTTTTGCTATGCTACATACATAGAGGCACTACTTTACATACATTGCTGGCAGCTAGCTCTCTGCAACTCTTACATAGTCGCCCACTGAAACTAAGCAGAGCTGCGCCTGGTCAGTAACTGGATGGGAGACCACATGGGGAAGCTAGGTTGCTGCCGGAAATGTTGGAGTCTGTGTGGGTCCTAATGCCCCGGTATATCGATGGGGACTATGTACTGCTCTGTGAGCAACATCTTTTGCTACATGTTAACCAAGGTCATTAAAAATTCTAGGATGTCCTTCGAAAAAGAGTAGGGATTTAATCCCGGCATCCAGGCCAAATTTGCCCACTGCCCTCTGTCCATCATGGACTCCTAACCATCTCCTTATCATAATTGGCTTCTTCAATCTTCTTCCCACCAATCAGTTGTTGTGTGGTGTGGAGTCTGGTGCAATATCAGACATCCCAAGTCTCCCGGAGGTCCCCGCAAACTAATGATGATCTCCCGGAAATCGTGTTTCTCCCCCCTGTTCCTAAAATATGTTGCGCACCCCTCTCACACCGCTATTGAGATATGTCGCGCTCAGCAACACCCCACTTCTTTAAATATGTTGTGTGCAGCAGACCCCCCCCCCCCCATCCTTTAAGATTCATTGCCCCCTGGTCTGCAACTCTAGCAAATCATCTATGTCCACCTGGAAATCACTTAGCCCAACTTGAGATGTCTGCAATATGAATGCCGTTGGATCATTTAAGTGGATGCTGCACACTCGTAGTGGATGGGTAGATTCCCCCAAAAAATATGTAAAGTGCTTTGAGTGTCCAGAAAAGTGCTATATAAAAAATGTAAAGAAGGAGGAGAAGGCTTATACTACCACAGCAATTAGCATTTTTCTCTTTGATAATTGGTGCCAGTTTATTGAGACAGTCTTCGCACAGCCCGCAGCTTGATGACAAACTAGAGTAGGTTAATGTTAAATTACACATTAAATTGTGCGTTATTAACATCTACACCTCCCCCAACCCTAAATCTAAACATCACAGTTATTAACGTCTACACTTCCCTCAACACTAAACCCAACAATCACAGTAGCATGGCCGTTACCTTAGTGGGCGTTAATGTTTACTACATATTGGACCTGGTCTAGTATGTCATCATGCTACAGACTGCAGAGAGGACATCTTAAGTTTATCAGGGAGTGATGACTTTGTTGTTTATCAGGGAGTGATGATTGTTCCAATCTTCAGTTGGAAACTGTACTTTATTTGCAAATGTAAGGTGTTATCAAAGTTTGGCGCACAAGTCACATTTTAGAATGGAAAAAAAGCTAGTGAGCACTTTTTTTTCTTGGCAGAAAATGGGATGAGAAACTTCTGGCAGAGGGAACACAGCTCTTAGAAGAAGAAATCTCGGTACCCGCTACTGTCCCTGGTGGACGGGAAGAATATCGCAAAGCTCTAGTGCTCAGTTTCTTTTTCAAGTTTTACATGCAAGTGTTGCTGGAGCTTCAACAAAGGGTACAATGATTTTGTAATATTATTTAAAAATCTATATAGTTTAGATTATTGCTGACAAAATAGGTTTTTTGTGTGTTTCCCTTGTTGCTGAAGGAGGTTGGCGTGAATGATCTCCCATTAGAGTATCTCAGCGCATTAAAACCCTTCAAAAATGAAGTGCCGCAAGGAAATTACTCTTACCAAGTAAGCACAACTAAATAATATTGAAACCTCCTTAAAAATGTGTGTTATATTATGTTTAGTTAACCACAAAAATGTCTCCTTATCATTGAAATTGCAGCTTGTACCAGAGACTCAGTCCTCTAGTGACCCAGTAGGACGTCCCAACGTACACCTGGCAGCGCTCCAGCAGGCTACAGGAGAAGCTGTGTATTATGATGACATCCCATCTGTTAAAGGAGAACTGTTTGTTTCCATGGTAACCAGCACCCGGGCTCATGCAAAGATCATGTAAGTTGAAAGATGTTCATTACAGATACATTTTTTTTTTCGCCCAACACAATCACACATTCCGGAAACTGAACACCATTGCAGGACATACAATCAGCTCATTCCATTATTCATAAACAGACACATGAACGGTATTAAGTTATGGGGTCAGACTTCTCTTCCAGCACCCATACATCTTGTTGATCCTGAGGATGTCATTTTTGGATTGTCCTAGTCTTTGTCAGACTGGCACAGTTTCATCAGAAATTGGAGTGATGGTTTCCAGACCATGCTGGATGGTGAAGGCTATTCTTAAAGAGTGATTGACAGAGTCATAGTTTTATGTAGTGATTTGGTTGTTAGTGTTTTGTTTCTGAAAGTTGTAGGCCCACCAGCAGGAATGGTTTTCCAGTTGATCCCGATGTACTGGTCGCAATCACTTCTAGACTGCTCAAAGTAGAAGCCCAGAGCATTAAAATAAATTATTTGTGGTGATATAATAATATTTTCTTTATGTCGCCTTCAAAATTTCGCTGCATCAATAGTGTTTATTTCAGCCTTGTAAATGTTTAAATTCAATATATTTCACTTAAAGATATCTCCTAATCTTCAACAGAGAGATCTGAATCAAACTGACTCTCTTATGTGTAGTGTGATTGGCAGATGACTGCATGTAACACAGCCATGTGCTTGCATGCCAGAGTTAATCACAAACCCTGAGCTAGACCCTTAATTAACATAGGTTTATATCAAGTCTTGTGAAACACTTTGCATTTCTTTGGATTTGTCAACCAGACATTTACTCTGCAACTCTGAGTTAATTCAACTTAGAGCTCTGGGCTATAAAATATTTATCACACCTGGAGGCATAGGTCAGTTGTGGCCTAATGGTTAGTGAGTTAGACAAGAACCCAACGGTTGTTGGTTTGGTTTCTAGTCCCGGCAGAACTTGATGGTGGGGAAAGTGAATAAACCTAACTTTGATACCAAGCTGAGTTGCCCTAGGCGTCTAACCTTGTGTGTGTGTGTGTGTGTGTGTGTGTGTGTGTGTGCACAAAACCAATTTTGACAAGGCTCATTTCACTTAATAAAAATGCATTTCTTGCAAAATATAGAAGAATCTGGCTCTTTATCTGATGTGCGTCAGCTATTCGAGGTCAAAGTTAGAAACTATACATCATAATAATTTAGTCTTAGCTTACTCTATCCATGAAAATTCATATAAAATGGGAAAAAAGTGTTTTCATTTATTGCAAAATCTGGTCTGGGAAGTTAATAAATGAGAGGACACGTTCTATATGTTTCTTTAAAATTAGCTTTATTTTGCCTCACAAGACAAAATGTTATTTATTTATTTTTTAAAACAATAAGACAAGAATAAAACTTTATTCATCTGTAGACAGAGCATTTTTACAATCAAAATTATATTTTTTTTACCCCTACTACTTCCCCTTGGCCCTTGAAACAGAGTGTGAAGGGGAAGGGCTTCAAAATTTACCCCTAAGAAATGGCACAGCACTACAACACCTGCACGTCATCTGGATTTTTTGCTATTTATCTTCAGGAAATCACTGCAGGTAACAGTACCATGCTATAATAACGCTATAATGTAGCGATAATTTCTAGCTGCTGTATTCTGGGAAATTTTCTTAACTCTTGGTTTTGAGTGTGGTATTGAAAAATCTCTGCTTAAAGGGCTATCTAGCCCTTCCCTTTAGCCCTAAGCCTTCAAGGTAAAGAGAATTTTGTAAGGGGAAGGGCTAAGGGGTAGAATTGGGATTAGGCCCCTATTTCAGTTTGCGGTACGGGATGGGTTGTAAATTATATTTACAAACTTTTTATAAACTATTTTTTGACTCTGCAAAAGCATAAAAGTAAGTTTGCAGATATTTAAGAAAGTGTTGTTGTCTGACAAACAATACTAAAGTGACTTTAAGAATGCACAATGTGAAAATGTACACCCACGACCAGTTTACCCAATTATATTTCAGCATCCTGGTTTGCCTTGGCTGTAAAAAACACAGCATATTTAATTTCAGTGTTTTACCATTAGCTTACTAGTTTATGTAATACTCGATCTTCAGGCATGCTTCCTCTTGTTGGAGTTGTCACCCTGGCAACTTGTGTAAAAAAAAAACCCTTTCCAATATTCAGAATTTAGACCTAGTTCAACCTCTAGTTGTCAATCCAGCATACATAAAACAATTACAACCATTCTATTAAACGTTTGGCCCTCAACAATAGAAATAAAAAAACTTTTAACATGATGCCGGACGTATTTTAAGTCCCAAAAAAAGGACGTGTCTGGAAATAAGAGCACGTACTGTGGCCCTATATTTTCAAATCATCTGAAATATTACAGCTGTACATCATGTTGATTCTCAAGATATCAATGTCAGACATTTCCTTGGCCTTTCCAATTGGCACCGTTTCATCAGGATATGGAGTCATGGTTTCCTTGCCTTTCACTGTAGTGAAGGCCGTTTTTCCATAGTGCATGATGGAGCCATAGTCATATGTGGTGTTTTGGCTGTTGGTGTTTTTTTTCATGAAGTTTCTGATCTCATTAGTTGCGATGTACTCCCAGTGAATCGTAATATAACTGTCACGGTCGCTTCTGACGTGTTCGTGGTAGAAGCCCAGGGCATGATTAAGCTCATGCTGAACGATGCTATGATACACGCAACCCTTTTTCCTAAGGGAGACCAACTGTTTGCCCCCATTTTTACCAATAAAAGCAAAGCATCTGAGAAAGAAGAGAAAAACAGAATTCCTGTATGATCACATGGTGTTTAAAATGTTGCAGGTTGTAAAAATGGTGTCTGTTAAGGCCACATTTCTTGCTTGAATAGTGTGATTAACCTCACCCATCTTGGTTCTCAATACTGATGTAGTCAGTCTGACTTATTCGAGGCACAAAACGAATGCATGTTTTATTGTGAATTCCGGACATTGCTTTCTGAATAACTGAGATTTCAGTAGCGGCTACAAACCAGAAGCACAATAGATTTTAATACACTCTTTCAGCACATATATATACATTAAAGTTAAATCAATCACTTACAGTATTCACTGCTCACTATGTAAGGGACCTCCACAAAGTTGCTAGAGTTTTTCTTCCAGAAACAGTTGTTGTTACCGCAGACGAGAGCATTTCGGGTTTGGGGATACAGCATATCTCCTTCAATTAGGCGTCTGGAAGATCCTGGGTTTAAACAAAAACATGTTATAATCAAAATACTTTCACATTTTAGTTTTTACCCCATTTTGTAAACCAACTACTGGCTTTTCAGGAATCTATAAAAATGCCTGACCCTTGTTGGTCTCCAATAACGTTGTGATGTCCACATTTTGAGGCGTTTCAATTCCATTTGAATTGTCGTACTCCTGATTATAAGGATGGAAGAAAAGTGCTAAATATTAATCTAGTGTAAAAGTTATAATTTCAGTGCATTAAAAGGCTCGAGTCTTACCCCAACTGGAGCTGCCAAGGAAATTCCAACCAACAGCAGCTGAATAGAGAGTGAGATCTTTGGGTCCATTTAGTCTCAGTGTGTGGAGATGTTCAGGATGGCTCTGAACTTTGGTGTCTGCAAGCTGCCAAACCTGAAATTTATATTCCTCAGTCAAGGTGGGTCAACTGGAGGTTGAGCCTTAGTGTTAAAAGGGAGGAAACTAAGAACCTCACTTAATCCAAAATATTGCACAACTGGAGATAGTACAATGAACATCCACAAATGTAAAATTGGTCACACTTTATTTTAATGGTCTGTTTTTTTTTTTTTTTTGTTTTTTTTTTAAGTTACATTCTATCTACATGCCAACTAATTCTCATTAGATTACAAGTAGACTGTTGTACTTCAGTTAAATGTCGGTTGAAGGAGCAGTATCAACAGATATTAAGCAGACAGTCTACTAATACTCATATGGACCATCAAAATAAAGTGTTACCGTAAATTTTGTATTGTATGTAGAGCCAAAAACTAGGGGGGTTTGTCCTAAATGCTTTATTAAGGCAAAGTTACAAAAATATGTGTCATGAGCACATTAAGATAGAATAAAATGTTATTTTTTTAGTTTGAAAGCAGATAATTAGATCTTTTTTTTTTGATATATCATTTTTTAATGTGTATTATAATATGTATATATGTATATGTAACATATTCCTAGCCAAAAATATGCTCAGGGCTGTTAAATTTAGGTGAAAATCGTCAAAAAGGCTGGCAGTTGCATCACTAAAAATGCTGGCAGGCAAAGGGTTAAAATCATTGAGTACAATAGCCTATTTGGGAGAAGAATTTCATTACATTTTTCATAAAAAGTATTATTTTTCTAATAAGATTATGTAGCATGCAAAGATATGATGGGTATTTTAGTTCTGATGTAGTAATGATGGATTCGACCAAGCAAGAGTTGTGACCTGTAGTAAAACAATACATCTTTCAAATCTAATGAGAGGACGTGCAAGAAAGAGCACAGAGCTTGATTTGGTCCAATCCCATCCCTCAGTCACTCTCTGCTTTGGCTTTTCATACCTCTCCTTCCCCTCCGGTCTATATAATTAGAGTAGAGGAACTATGACGTCAACAAAGAACCCAGAAGCAAGTCAATGTTTCTAGTTCCATAGCCTCAGAGTAAATGTTTTTTTAATGGGATTTAGGTCTGTGCGGAACTCAAACTCAACATGCTTTTAGGTTTTATTGTATGGCATTAAGAACACAACCGCTACACCCACCCAGCCATCCATCAAGCAGCTACTTTTCTTTAGAAATATTGTTGCTAAAAGTTAAATGGGACTACAGGCATTGCTGTAGATGTTAAACCTCATTGCACTAATCAGGAACTTGCACTCCTCACACACACACACACACACACATAAATATATATATATATATATATATATATATATATATATACATACACACAATTGAAACCAGAAACTCCACACAGAAACGCCAAATGGTTCAGCTGGGACTCGAACCAGCAATCTTTCTGCTGTGTTGTGACAATGCTAACCACCGAGCCACCATACCACCAATGCCATAATAATGATGGAAATAAAATAGTGTTCCTGACAAGAGGATACAAGCCAGGAAACGTCATCCCGACTGTGAAGAAACTGATACACTTCACAGAATACATGGCATCATGAGGAAAGAACATTATGTCGAAATGCTGATGCAACATTTCATAACATGACCCAGGGTATTAAAGCTTAGCTTTACAGGGTCTTCCAAATGGACAATGACCTTAAACATTCTTCCAAATTAGTTAAAAAATGGCTTAAGGACAACAGAGTGAATGCTTTAGTGGCCATCACTAAGCCCTGATTTCAATCTTGTGGTCAGAGGTGAAAAGGTGTGTGGGAGCAAGGTCGTCTGCAAATCTGACTCCATTAGACCACTTCTGTCAAGAAGGGACAAAAGTTCATCAAACTATTGTGAAAAGCTTGTTGAAAAATTGCCAAAAAGTTTGACCCAGGTCACACTGTTTAAAAGCAATGCTACTTAATACTAGGGAAGTGTGTGTAAATGTTTGAATGTAGAGAAAGTAATGAAACAAGTTTAAAATGTTTTCATTCTCATAATTATAGCATTTAGCAAAGAGATTTCATTTTGTTAATCCTAACTAGCCTAAAACACGAAATGTTTTGTCTACTTTAGCATCAGCCCTTAAAAAAGAAAAAAAAAAAGGTTATATTTCTTTTTATACTGTGTATGTAAACTTCTGGTTTCATACTTAGATATATAGAGCATATATATAATAGAGCATCGATTAAAATTCATCTACAGGATATATTCAAATCATGGACCACCTTCCAAACTTGACAAGCTATCAAGAGCAAGGTGGTGGTTACATCCATGAAATGTTGATGTAGTTTGTTTATAGCCTGAGCAGTCAGTCACACCTTACTGTTCTGAAAAGGCAAGGTGTACCGCATTGCTTTTTTGTTGATGTTAGAAATGGGCAGAGTACTGCGCTTTTTATGTTGCTAGGCAACCACTGTAACAATGATCTTAGTGCTGGAGGACATGACATGAGATTCTTTTTCTGCAGTTTACTTTTTTTAACTGTAGGAGCACAAATGTTTTGTCAAAAACACGAGGCGCAGCACACGGAGTACAAGAACACTCACTGCCAATAGAAAACCATATAAAAAGGCATATAGCTGTGATCAGGCCCTAAGGTTAGCTTTTTAGTCCATCTGTATTCAGGAATCAAAAGTCATGAAAGTTATTTTTTGTGAAGATTATCTTGATAGACAAAACTATAAAATGTATAATGAATTATGTTTGAACACAGTGCTAATTATTTCATCAGAACTTCTTCAGAACAGTGGCTTATTTGCACAAATTCATGTTTTCATTCATTTGAAAATTTACTATTTTAAAGTGTTCTCTCAAACTCCACCTCTAACCCTACCCCTTATTGAGGAATAGGAAAATCATACTAAAATGTACAAATGAGATTGTACATATAAATTGGAAGTAGACACTAAATCAAAAAGTTACGAATTGCCATGAGATTGTGTTGGGCCCCTAATAAACGAGTAATTAAAAGCATGGACAAAAAATTGAAGCAAATCAAAACAAATTTTATTTTCATCTGTTAAAACATAAATGTTGAAAATTCGTATAGTCACCTTATCACCATCACCTCACTTCATTATTCATATATTGAATTATCATCACAAACACATATCATTTTTTAGCATCCATACAGCTTATTGATCCTGAGGATGTCAATTTTGGACAGCCCCTGCCTCTGTCCGATCTGCACGTTTTCATCGGGAATGGGAGTGATGGTTTCCAGACCGGGCTGGATGGCAAAGGCCGTTTTTCCATAGTGCATGAGCGAGCCATAGTCGTATGGAGTGTTTTGGTTATTGGTTTTTTGTTTCAGGAAGTTGTAAGCCATTCCAGGAGAGATGTTATTCCAGTTGATCCTGACGTACTGGTCACGATCGCTCCTGGATTGCTCATGGTAGAAGCCCAGAGCATGATTGAGCTCATGCTGAGCAATGCCACTGTACACACAGCCTTTCCTGTTGAGGGAGACCACCTGTTTGCCACCAGTTCTACCAATAGCAGAGTAACACCTGTAAAGTGAAAAGAATGAAGTGGATTAATTATTGCTTATTTCGGACTACGGAAGATGCCATCCCAGGACTAAGGGCTGTTTAGATTTTATTTGATTGTTCTCACCCATCTTTGTTCTCAATACTGAGGTAGTCGGCCTGAATTGATCTGGGCACAAAGCGAATGCAGGTTTGGGCGTGAAAGATGGAGATGGCATTCGCAATTACTGATTTGTCATTTATGGCTGCAAAACAAAGGGGACCACAGGTTTAAAAAACATCAACAGACGTCACAGTTATGCCCAACAAAAGATGGAGATTCACTCACAGAATTCACCGCTCACTACATAAGGGACCTCCACTATGTTGTTAGCATTTTTCTTCCAGAAACAGCTTTTGTCCTCGCATATGAGAGCATTTCGGTTTTTGGGAAGCACCACATCTCCTTCAAACAAGACTTCAGAAGAACCTGGGTTTAAAAAGAAATGGATTGAAGGAATTATAGAATATATGTATACATCTTGACCACTGGATTGTAAAACCCATTGCTAGCTTCAAAAAGATCTCCAAGTTGCCTGACCCTTATTGGTCTCCAAAATCTGTGTAGTGATGTCCACAGTTTCAGGCTCTGATACAAAAATGGCTTCAAACTCCTGCAAAACAAAGATGTGAGAAACAAATATGTTTAAAACAACACGTATGAGGAACGTTGAACATGTAAAGGAGAAACTAGACAGGATCTTACCCTGAGAGGAGATGCCTGGGAGAGGCCAAAGAGCAGAAGCAGAATGGAGAGGGAAGCTCTTATGTCCATGTTGCCTCAGTGTGTAGAGATGTTCAGGATGCTCCTGTGCCAAGGTCTGATGTCTGTGAGATGATCTGTGCGAGCTTTATATTCACCCGAGTAGGTGCGTCTACCCTGGGATTATGGTTAGGGTCTTAGTTTTCAGGGACTAATGTGTTTAACTAAAAGGAGTGCACACTCTGTTAAATCCAAAAGTTTACAGAGTCAAGGGAAGTGCCTACTGTACATGCATGTTTGTTTAACAAATGCAACCATCAAGTGAATAGTCTTCTATTTTTGTTTTACTACTTTGAGAATTCAAAATCACTTTGTATCAACCCTATCTTTACTTCAGCTCTATATATAGATCAATGGCTCTAGCACTGCCTGGAGTGGTTGATTTCAATATATATATATATATATATATATATATATATATATTAAAAATAGGACTACAGGCATTGTCTTAGAGGCTAAACATCCCTGCACCAATCAAGAACTTGTACTCTTGTGTATGTAAGTTAATGTTTGTATATATATATATATATATATATATATATATATATATATATATATATATATATATATATATATATATATATATATACACAAACGCACACACACAGTTGAAACCAGACATTTATAAAAAGGCACATGACCACTTTTGATTATTAATCCTTTCTTGTTTTAGGACAGTTAGAATTACCACAATTACAAAATTACTTATATTTGCCATTATTTAGGTATGCCATAATAATGATAGTGTCTTAAAAATGCTTTCATGACTAGGGGAACCAAGTCACAACTCTTAAAAGGCAAGAAACACTATCCCGATTGTAAAGTATGGGGGTGGTAGCATTATGTTGTGGGGCTGTTTTGCTGCAGGAAAAAATGGTGGACTTTAAAGAATACATGGCATCATGAGGAAATATATAAGAAAATTACATAGAGATATTGAAGTAACATCTCAAGACATCAGCCAGGAAATTGAAGCTTAGCTTCACATGGGTCTTCCAAATGGACAATGACCCTAAGCATACTGCCAAATCAGTTAAAAAGTGGCTTAAGCACAACAGAGTATTTTATACAGGTGTTAGTCATATACTTACAATATAATCAAAAATGTTGTCTATTTCTCACTTTTCATTCAAGAGGTGAAAATTGCAAAATATCTAAATTCTTTCCACACAGACTGATACATTTCAAGTGTTTATTTACTTTAATTTTGAGGATTTTTAGAACAATAAATGAAAACCCCAAAATCAGTGTCTCAGAAGATTTTAATACTGTGAAAGGGTTAAGTATTGAAGACACCTGGTGCCACACTCAAAACACCAGCAAAGACCTTTAAATTGGTTCTCAGTGTAGTTCTGTAGACTACACAATCACGGAGAAGATAACTGATTGGTCAGTTGTCACAAAGATGACCACACCTTGCACAAGGAGTGCAAGACACAAAAGGTCATTGCAAAACAGGCTGGCTGTTCACAGAACTCTGTGTGCAAGCATATTACTATAGACGAATGGAAGGAAAATATGTGGTAGAAAAGGAGTGTACAACCAATAGGGATAACTGCACCCTGGAAAGAATTGTGAAACAAAATCTATTCAAAAATGTGGGCGAAATTCACAAAGAGTGGACTGCAGCTGGAGTCAGTGCTTCAAAAATCACTATGCACAGACATATGCAAGATATGGGTTTCAGCTGTTGCATTTTTTGTGTCAAGCCACTCTTGAACTACAGACAGTGTCAGAAGCATCTCGCCTGGGCTATAGACTGGACTAGTTCTGAGTATTCCAAAGTTATGTTCTTTAATAAAAGCTAATTTTGCATTTCCTTTGGAAATCAGGGTCCCAGCATCTGGACAAAGAGAGAATAGGCACACAATGTTGCTTAAGATCCAGTGTAAAGTTTCTACAGTCAGTAATGGTTTGATGTGCCATGTCATCTGCTGGTGTTGCTCCACTGTGTTTTCAGAGGTCCAAGGTCAACGCAGCTATATACCAGGACAGTTTAGAGCACTGCATGCTTCCGGCTGCTGACCAACTTTTTGGTGATGCAGATTTAATTTTCCAACAGGACTTGGCACCTGCACACAGCGCTTAAGCTACCAGTACCTGCTTTAAGGACCATGATAGCCCTGTTTTAATTGGCCAGCAAACTCACCTGACCTTAACCCACTTAGAAAATCTATGGGGTATTGTGAAAAGAAAGATGCAATATGCAAAACCCAACAACGCACAAGAGCTGAAGCCCATTATGAGAACATCCTGGGCTCCCATAACACACGAGTAGTGCCACAGATTGATCGACTCAATGTCACGCTGCATTACTGCCGTAATTCGGGCAACAGAAGCACCAACTCATTATTGAGTGATGCGCATGCTCATACTTTTCATGTTCCTACTTTTCAGTTGGCAAAGATTTGAAAAAAAAAAATCCTTTCTTTGAATTGGTCATAAGTAATGTTTTAATTTTCTGAGATGTTAAATTTGGGATTTTCATTACTTGTCCTCAAAATCATCAAATTTAAAATAAATAAACACTTGAAATGTATCAGTCTGTCTAAAATGAATGAGCACATTACACAATTTTCACTTTTTGAATGGTATTAGTGAAATAAATCAACTTTTTGAAGATATTCTACATATAGGATGGTAAATAAGGTGGTGGTCATATCTGTGCATCTTTGGTGTAGTTTGTTTATAGCCTAAAGCAGTTTATCACACTGAATGCACTTTACCGTTCTGAAAATGCAAGGTGTACCGCGTTGCCTTTTTGCTGACTTGAGAAAAGAACTCAGGTACTGCGCTTTTTCTGTTACTAGGCAACCACTGTATCAATGGTCTTGTTGGTGGTGCACATTATGTCAGATACTTTTCCGCAGATTACATTTTTTTTTTTAACTACAGGAGCACAAATCACTCTTTCAAAAATACAAGGTGCAACAGCAAAAACAAAAGAATACTCAGTGGCAATAGAAATGTAAGGTTAGCTTTTTAGTGCGTCTGGATTTAGGATTCAATAGTCATGTTTTGTGAAGATTATCTTGATAGATAAAACTCTAAAACTATGTTTTTAAACAGTGCCAATTATTTCATCAGAATTTTGTCAAAAAAGTGGCTTATTCGCACAAATGTACTTGATTTCATTCATATGAAAATGTATTATTTTTAAAAGGAAGTGTGCTCCAAAACTCCACCTCTAACCCCACCCCTCATTGAGGAATGAGCAAATCATACTAAAATGTACAAACGAGATTGTACAAATAAGTTGGAATTGAACACTAAATCAAAAAGTTACGATTTGCCTTGAGATTGCGTTGGGCCCCTAATAAACAAATAATTAAAAGCATGGACAAAAATTGAAGCAAATCAAAACAAATTTTATTTTCAGCTCCTAAAACATAATTGTGGTATATACGTAAAGTCTCTTAAATTTGGAGTCAGATTACATTATTCACTTGATTTTCCAAACAGTGTTTAACAGAGGGATTACAGAAATTCCACACAATCACAGATAGAAACCTCACTTCATTATTCATATATTGAATTATCATCACAAACACATATCATTTTTTAGCATCCATACAGCTTATTGATCCTGAGGATGTCAATTTTGGACAGCCCCTGCCTCTGTCCAATTTGCACGTTTTCATCGGGAATGGGAGTGATGGTTTCCAGACCGGGCTGGATGGCAAAGGCCGTTTTTCCATAGTGCATGAGCGAGCCATAGTCGTATGGAGTGTTTTGGTTATTGGTTTTTTGTTTCAGGAAGTTGTAGGCCATTCCAGGAGAGATGTTATTCCAGTTGATCCTGACGTACTGGTCACGATCGCTCCTGGATTGCTCATGGTAGAAGCCCAGAGCATGATTAAGCTCATGCTGAGCAATGCCACTGTACACACAGCCTTTCCTGTTGAGGGAGACCACCTGTTTGCCACCAGTTCTACCAATAGCGGAGTAACACCTGTAAAGAGATTAAGTGGATTAATTATCGGTTATTTTTTACTACAAAAGTTGCCTGGACTAAGGACTGATCATATTTTATTTGATTGTTCTCACCCATCTTTGTTCTCAATACTGAGGTAGTCGGCCTGAATTGATCTGGGCACAAAGCGAATGCAGGTTTGGGCGTGAAAGATGGAGATGGCATTCGCAATTACTGATTTGTCATTAATGGCTGCAAAACAAAGGGGACCACAGGTTTAAAAAACATCAACAGACGTCACAGTTATGCCCAACAAAAGATGGAGATTCACTCACAGAATTCACCGCTCACTACATAAGGGACCTCCACTATGTTGTTAGCATTTTTCTTCCAGAAACAGCTTTTGTCCTCGCAGATGAAAGCATTTCGGTTTTTGGGAAGCACCACATCTCCTTCAAACAAGACTTCAGAAGAACCTGGGTTTAAAAAGAAATGGATTGAAGGAATTATAGAATATATGGATACATCTTGACCACTGGATTGTAAAACCCATTGCTAGCTTTAAAAAGATCTCCAAGTTGCCTGACCCTTATTGGTCTCCAAAATCTGTGCAGTGATGTCCACAGTTTCAGGCTCTGATACAAAAACGGCTTCAAACTCCTGCAAAACAAAGATGTGAGAAACAAATATGTTTAAAACAAAACATATGAGGAATTTTGAACATGTAAAGGAGAAACTAGACAGGATCTTACCCTGAGAGGAGATGCCTGGGAGAGGCCAAAGAGCAGAAGCAGAATGGAGAGGGAAGCTCTTATGTCCATGTTGCCTCAGTGTGTAGAGATGTTCAGGATGCTCCTTTGCCAAGGTCTGATGTCTGTGAGATGATCTGTGCGAGCTTTATATTCACCCGAGTAGGTGGGTCTACAATGGGATTATGGTTAGGGTCTTAGTTTTCAGGGACTAATGTGTTTAACTAAAAGGAGTGCACAATCTGTTAAATCCAAAAGTTTACAGAGTCAAGGGAAGTGCCTACTCTATGTTTGTTTGACTAATCTATCCATCAAGTGAATAGACTTTTTATTTTGTTTTTTCTACATTGAAAATTCTAAATCGATTTGCATCAACCCTATCTTTACTTCAGCTCTATAGATGCATCAGTGGCTCTAGCTATGCCTGGAGTGGTTGACTTCATCTCTGCTAAGGATGTTCCTGGGCAGAATCGAAGACTCTGGTTCAACAATCCTGAGGAACTTTTTGCAGAAGAGGAGGTACATTTTTAGTTCTCAAGTTTAGCGATGCATTACTAAACAATTTAAGCCTCATGGCTGATTTCAAGCATTTTAACGTACATTAAAAGTTGCTGGAACCTTGTCAATGATGCTTTTTGCATCTGAAGTACAATAAAAAAATTGAAAGCGTAATCTTTCTTTTCTGATGTTCATTTCAGGTCATTTGTGTGGGGCAGATTATTGGTGCGATTGTAGCTGAGACTAGAGAACAAGCTAAACGAGCAGCTCAGCAAGTAGACATTACTTACCAGGATATGCAACCTGTCTTTTTCACAATTGAGGTATTTCAATGCATAAGTATATCCATAAAACACTTCATAATGGGGAAATAAATGTTTATCACACACATCTAATCATACTAATCAAAAAAATTTTTTTTTTAATTCTAGGAGGCTATTGAACACGAGTCATTTTTTGACCCCAAGAGAAAGCTGGAAAGAGGAAATGTGGAAGAAGGTTTTGCAAAGGCAGACCAAATTCTAGAGGGTTTGTGTAAACCTGATTCGAAGTCCTTTTAAAACTGTGCTTTGACTTTTAGCTCAACTGTGCATAATCGTATTATATCACAGGTGAGATGTATATGGGTGGCCAGGAACACTTCTACATGGAAACTCAGGGAGTGATTGCAATTCCTACAGGAGAAGCAAGTGAAATTGAGCTATATGTTGCCAGTCAGCATGCAGCTTACACTCAGGTTTGTATTATGATTCACTATAAATATATTAATGTTTTAGATAATATGAATATTTAAGGAGAATCCTATAAAAAACAACAACAGAATTTACAATCTTCGGGCTAATTTTCTTTTAAAACAGGAAGTGGTGGGAATCACTCTCGGCATTGACTCCAACAAGATCACGTGTCATGTAAAGAGGCTGGGAGGTGGTTTTGGTGGTAAAGTCATGAAGATTGCATCATTATCTGCTATCGCTGCTACGGCTGCCATAAAGTAAATCAAACTAAGACCCTTACCTTTTTTACAGAATCGTTTCATTTCATTCTATTGAGCATTCACTTGTATTGCTTATATCATGCATTGTTGGGAAGAAAAGTTTTCTATGGCTTATAAAAATATGAAATGTTCAATGCTAATGCTATTTATTGACTGTATATTAAAAATTTAACCACAGGACTGGCCATGCTGTGCGATGTGTACTAGAACGTGGAGATGACATGCTCATCACCAGTGGAAGATCTCCTTTCTTGGGGAGGTACAAGGTAATGAGATGTTATGAGTGATATTTGTGATTGAACAGCTGTGCTGCATCACAACGGTATAATTCCTGCCTTTTTCCTACAGATTGGCTATATGAATGACGGAACAATCCTGGCTGCTGATATCACATACTACAGTAATGGAGGATGCACTCTTGATGAATCCTCTTTTGTATGTTGGTTTTTAAGAAATTTAACATGTATAAATTGGTAATAGCTGATGAAATGTTGATACAAGTTAACATGTATCAAAGTACATGTAATTCCCAAGTAGATCAGTCTCCAAATCACAAACGGTGTATTTATATGTAATTTATGACCAGATTATGGAGAAAGCTCTTCTTCACATGGATAATGGCTACAAGATCCCTAATCTACGTGGACGTGGACTGGTGTGCAAGACCTTCTTACCTTCATACACAGCCTTCCGTGGATTTGGTGGACCTCAAGGGTTGACCATTATTGAGAGTGTGCTACATGAGGTGGCGGTCAAGTGTGGCCTACCTGCACATCAGGTAAGATCTTTTAGGAAGCAGGGTTCAATAAAAACCAAGCTGATTATACAGACTTTGAGTCTTACTCAACATTTGTGCTGGTAACTACAAGATTGTATGTTCAAATCCTGTTGATTCATGATGTTGAGGGTGAGCTTCGGTGGGATGGTAATACAGTAGATTCTATTAGGGTTGTTCAGATTCTGATACTAGTTTCGGAAATGCCATCTATTCTGGTACAATACAATTTTTAAACAAATCCATACAATTGTGTTGCCATACAACAGGGGTGTCCAAACTCGGTCCTGGAGGGCCGGTGTCCTGCAGATGTTAGCTCCAACTTGCCTCAAAACACCTGCAAAGATGTTTCTAAAAAGCCTGGTAAGAGCTTGATTAGCAAGTCCAGGTGTGTCTGATTGGGGTTGGAACTAAACTTTGCAGGACACTGGCCCTCCAGGACCGAGCTTGGACATGCCTGCCATACAATTTACATGCATGGAGGCGGGTTCTAGCATCTGTGCCACACTAGCTACGATGGAAGAAATTGTTTTGTTTTTAGCTTTGCGAAATATGCGAAGTGTAGTATAAGCAGTGAATGGTTTAGTCCAGATTTACCCCCACACAGTTTATGTAATGGTATGGCCCTGATGTGTGTGGTAATTGAAGATGTAGCCTTTGTGTGCGCACTGGTGTTGGAGAGAATAAAGTTATTCTATGTGTAGCCCGCAGTGCGTGTATTAATAGCGACAAAAAGCAAAAGTTACAACACGAAGTTCGCCCAACTGTAAAATGATGTTGAGGCGGAGGTGGGAAAGGGCCGTCATCGCAGCTTGCGCTTATGGTTTATATGCTTTATGATGTCCTCCACCATTCAGAGGAATTTGTGGGTACGAGAGAGATCTCAGGTCTGGTGGAAGCAAATTGTGGCGACTGACCACTTTCCTCCTCTGTGTTTCCTCTGATGTTGTTTACCGCATCAGCATCTCCACACACACTCTTCTTTCTGTCAATAAACCACGGAGAAGCACCACATTGTCGCAAGTTTAATAGTGTACAGAACGGAATGCCTCAATAAATCCGATTTGCCCGTTTACATGACAGTCGCATCGTCACATATCCGATCTGATTTATTTCCACATATGAAGGAGGCCTGAAACCGTTCTCTGAATATCCGAAACATGCGTTTTTTTTGTGTTTACATGGTCAAAGAACAGATCCGATCTGTGTCACATATAAGCAAAAAATCGGAATTGGGTCACATTTAACTGGCAGTGTAAACAGGGCCAGTAGTTATGCCCGCTAGCTTGCTTTTGATAATACCTTCGCTCAAAATGCAAACACAGGAAGTCTGAACAGTTTAAAACAGTGAAGAAGAAACAAAGGACTAATTTAATGTCCCCTGTTTGGGACTGGGATATTTCATATTGGACCAACCAGCCAGTAAATCAGCTGGTTGGACAAATATGAGCAACATGAACACAATGGCTTCAGTAAGCCTAGCCCACCTATGCATTAGCATTGACAGAAACTACAATGTTTGGTTGTGTTTATTAAACAAATCGAAAGTAATCAAATTTGTGAATTTTGCGACTTTATTACACATTTGGAGTGTCGATACAGTTTTGCCTAGTTGGAATTACATGTCTAAAAATCCCTTTCTATGCTAAAAACGGAAGTGCCTTTCCGAATGGAAAAAGGGTATTGGACCATCTCTACCACTCATGAGAAAAATGTTGGGATTTTCAAATTCCACTCTGCGAAAATGTAATGCAAACACATTTCTAACTACACAGGTAAGAGACATCAATTTGTACAAGGAGGAGAAATGCTTTACCCACCACAAGCAGCTGTTTTCCCCTCATGATATGGTGCGCTGCTGGAACGAGTGTCTAGAGAAGTCCAACTACACCCAACGATGCCAGTACATCGAGCAGTTTAACGGCCACAACCATTGGAAGAAGCGAGGGATTTCCATTGTCCCTATAAAGTTTGGAATCGGATTCTCGAAGGGCTTCTATAACCAGGTGCACATTTTCAGTTTGGTTTGGAGCTTCAATTACATTAGAAATACAACTATATTAATATCCAATCTTTACGATTTTCTTGGAAATTTCAGGGAGCAGCATTGGTGAACGTCTACAAAGATGGATCAGTTGTGATTTCTCATGGAGGAACTGAGATGGGTCAAGGTATCAACACCAAAGCCATACAGGTGCATTGAGACTTAATGCCAAACATTGCATCCAAATAACGTTAAATGAACATTAAAATTACATTCATCCTAATCTTCAAACTAGATTGCAAGCCGCATTCTGAAGGTTTCAATGTCCTCGATCCACATCAAAGAGACTTGTACTGGAAATGTGCCCAATGCTGCACCATCCGCGGCATCTTTCGGCACAGATGCTGTTGGGATGGCGGTCAAGGTATAAAAACTGCCAATTTTCTGGTATTTATGCATCATTTCGTGACTAAAATTTAAATATTTTTACACAGAATGGTTGTGAGAAACTAATGAGACGTCTAGAGCCACTCATTAAGAAACATCCCCAATACACATGGCAACAACTGGTTAGTAAGAAACCACAAACTGACTTATGAATGCTAATTCGGACAACAAAAAGAGAATTACTTACCTTCTGTTGTGTTTCCAGGTGGTGGAAGCTTACTGCCAGAAGATTAGTTTGTCAGCAACTGGTTTCTTTATGTAAGTGGTCAATCTTGAAGCAACATGTAGCCACATGATAAAATGTTTGAACATCTAACAAAATAGTTCCACTGATTGTGAGTTGAATGAATATGTCTTAATAAATAAATCAAAGCAATGATTTGTTCATGACAGGGGCCCCCACACCAGCGTTGACTGGGAGAAGAGTGAGGGCAATGCGTACTATTACTTTACTTTTGGGGCCTGTTGCTCAGAGGTGGAAATTGATTGCTTGACAGGAGATCACAAGGTGCTTGTCTTTTAAATCTTCTTTGCTCATAAATATGATTTGGCTAGGGAATGCATTAATGACTTTGCTGTTAAGATTTATGAAGTTATTTCCAAAGTCGTTGTGCACGTTCTCAATTTGAATATCAAGTTTTGTGGACTGTGAAATCACTTTACAGAACATTAGGACTGACATTGTGATGGATGTTGGTCGGAGCATAAATCCTGCTTTGGACGTCGGACAGGTACGTATGATTTTTATGTCAGCGAGTTGTAAAGCCAACTGTTTCTGAATAATATACCTGAAAAATACCTGACATTTTTTATCCATAAAACTAACATTTTTTTGGAAAATCAGTCACCATGCAGTTTGTAAATATGTGTTTTTGCAGGTTGAGGGTGGTTTTGTCCAGGGCATTGGACTCTATACTATAGAGGAGTTGCAGTTTTCTCCGCAGGGTGTTTTGTTGACCAGAGGACCCTCGCAGTACAAAATTCCAGCTCTGTGTGACGTCCCTCCTCAAATTAATGTCCATCTCCTGAGAAATGCTGACAATCCTCATGCCATCTACTCCTCAAAGGTAAAAAAGGAACAACAATGTACATCAACAGTTATCCGGTAATAAAACCAAAGCTATTTAATGCTAAACGAATAGTGATATTTACCTATTCAAGAGTTCACTTAGCTGATGATTGATTATAAAGCTTGTTTGGGATGCTGTCCTGGGAGAGAGCCCTGAGCTCATAAGATCCTCGAGCTCGGGGCTCCCGTTTGCAAGGCGAGAGGGGAGTTTGAGCTCAGGTAGATCTTGAGAACTCTCCTGCTGTAATAGCTAATGAACAGATAGTGATTGCTCTTAAGAGATAACTACTTAATAGAGGCATGTCTATGGTGCCAATTTGGATTAGTCAAATAAATTAAGTTGCATGTTTTTGGGAAACCCACGTGAGCACGGGGAGAACATGTAAACTCCGCACAGAAATGTCTGCTGGCTTGGTAAGGACTAGAACCAGTGACGTTCTTGCTGTGAGGCTACAGTGCTAACCACTGGGCCACCGTGCCACCCATCTAGGAAAGGAGGAGGAGTAGGGGTGGAAGGGGAAATTCTTCAAATCGAAGATGGCTGTCATATGGAACTTAGAGTATTTATAGTGGCTTAGGAATCGCCTGATTAATGAATCATAAATTGGATAATGCGGGGCCGGCTGCAAGCAATAATAAGCCAGTGATCCCCTCGAAATTAGTTTATGAATAAACTTCACTTGACTAAATTGCAGACAAGCGAATCAACAGAATTCTGTGAATTCAATACTCTGCTGGACAGGCCACATCAGTAGTTTTCAACCTATTTTACTTCAAATATTGCATGTATTTTCAAAGATATACAGTTCACAGCTGTTTTATTACAGTTGGGAACACTATGCTAGTACCAGTTTGGACCTCCTTGTGCCTTCAGAATTGGCATATTTCAGCATGTCATTGATTCACAGCCTACGATTCAGGAAACATTTCGATCATTATGGTGTCATGCAGGGCGAGGGAGTGGCGCAGTAGGTAGTGCTGTCACCTCACAGCAAGAAGGTCGCTGGGGTGCTGGTTCGAACCTCGGCTCAGTTGGTGTTTCTGTGTGGAGTTTGTATGTTCTCCCTGCCTTTACGTGGGTTTCCTCCGGGTGCTCCGGTTTCCCCCACAGTCCAAAGACATGCGGTACAGGTGAATTGGGTAGGCTAAATTGTCCGTAGTGAATGTGTGTGTGGATGTTTCCCAGAGATGGGTTGCGGCTGGAAGGGCATCCGCTGCATAAAAACTTGCTGGATAAATTGGCGGTTCATTCCGTTCATTCCACAATGCCAGTCTTCATCATCTCAAAGGTCCTCAATTGGATTGAGATCTCATTGTCATGTTTAAGAAACCACTTTGAGATGACTTTAGCTGTGATTAGTGCCCTCCTGCTGGAAGATCACAAAAAGTGATCTTATGCGCAAAACTATATATTGAATTAAACATTTGCGCCTAAAGCAGATTCCACTCAGTGAGTCAAATAGAACAAAAGTTTCAGTTTATAGTGGTCATGAAGGGATAAGTATAGTCAGCAACATTATTCATGGAGGCTGTGGTGTTTAAATGATGCCCAGTTTGTATTAAAGGGTCCAAAGATTCCACACTTTTACACCAACAGCCTGAATATTTGGGAAGGCAGGAAGGATCCATGTTTTCATGTTAATCACACCAAATTCAGACTCTATCATCCAAAAGTTGTATCAGAAATCATGCCTTTTTGAAGTCTTGTGTTGTCCCATGTAAATTGTAGCCTCATCCTGAATTGCTGATCAGATATTTGCATAAATGAGTTGTTGTACAAGTGCACCTAATAACTTTCACTTTGCTTTCACGTGAAAATGAAAATGTGAGCCGCATGTCAGAGCATGAGCATGTGTAGTCTAGGAAAGTGTTTCTCAACCATGTTCCTGGGGGACCACCAACATTGCATGTTTTGGACGTCTCCTTCGTCACACCCATTACAGGTCTTTCTGTCTCTGCTAATGAGCTCATCATCTGAATCAGTTGTGTTTGGTTAAGGAGACAAGGAAAAAGTGCAGAGCTGGTGGTCCTCCGGGAACGTGGTTGGGAAACACTGATCTAGAAGCACAGAACCAAAACTCGTGCTATGCATAGGAGATTCGTAGTGGTCATGAAGGGATAAGTATAGTCAGCAACATTATTCATGGAGGCTGTGGCGTTTAAATGATGCGCAGTTTGTACTAAAGGGTCCAAAGATTCCACACTTTAACACCAACAGCCTAAATATTTGGGAAGGCAGGAACGATCCATGTTTTCGTGTTGATCACACCAAATTCAGACTCTATCATCCAAAAGCTGTATCAGAAATCAAGCCTTTTTGAAGTCTTGTGTTGTCCCATGTGAACTGTAGCCTCATCCTGAATTGCTGATCAGATATTTGCATGAATGAGTTGTTGAACGGCTGCACCTAATAACGTTCCATTGAGTGTTTATGTACAGTGGAAATTTTATTGTTGTAATACAGGTTACAAGAGCACTGTTGTTACATGTTTCAGGGCATTGGAGAACCCCCAGTATTTTTTGGCTGTACTTTATTCTTCGCCATTAAAGAAGCGATTGCCGCCGCACGGAAAGAGAGAGGCCTGAGCGAAAGTTTCTCTTTCTCTTCTCCTGCCACTGCAGAGAAGATACGCATGGCCTGTGAAGACTGCTTCACCAGAATGGTGGGTATAGAATGAGTATATATTAGGGCTGCACAATATTGGAAGAATTTAGCATTGTGATATTTTTATTTCGCGATTATATTTTGCGGTATGACTACAGTTTCACCATACAACTTTTGTCGTTTCCAGAGTCTGAACAGTAACTGAATGATAAAAATAATTCAATAAAATGAAATCGTGTTTACTTTAATCCAGTAACAAATGGTACAGTTTTTTCTATCTTATGTTTTTAACATCATTAAATAATCACATGCATCAAAATCACATGCAAATGATAAATGATAATAATGCAAACTCAACATTTCATACCCTGCAATGTGACTATTGCGAATGACGTTGTGATACTGATTTTAAAACAATATATTGTGCAGCCCTGGCATACAGTATAGTTCATTATATATAATGACATTAAAATGTTGATATGAGTTAATTATTTACTATATAAAACCTTGGACACAAAACCAATCTTATGCTGCACAATTTTTTTGTTTTTTTTGGCAATAGCCAAAATTACATTGTATGCATCAAAATAATTGATTTTATATTTTTATTTAACCAAATTCTTTATCATTTATTAAGTATTAAATAGAGATCATTTTACACTATAAAATACAGCAAAATTCATTATTTGGATTAATAATGTGCAATGATACAAACTTCATTTGGGCAATTTGGAAAAATTGGAAAATTTTCTCAGTAAACCCTCAAATTCCAGATATTCAAGTAGTCCTATTTGAGCCAACCATTGTCCAATCCTATATAAAAATATACATAAATGGAAGATGAAGAAGTTTTAGATGATTTATAAATTTCAATCTGATTTTGTGGTCCAGGGTCACATATTGCCTAATACATGTATTATACCATATTGTATCTGACTTTTTCAAATAAATACAAACTTTTCCCCCCACACAGATTCCACAAGACAAGAAAGTAAAAACCAAACCGTGGGCCATCAACGTGTGAAGAAAAACATATCAGATCATTATCAGCTTTATTACCTCACACAAACAAGCTGACACATCATTTTCATTGAGACTTTGACCTGTTGCTAGTTATAAACCATCAACCTTTAAAGCCTTTAGCTTGTCCAGAACTATATGTTCTAGCATCCTTAATATATGTTATTATGCAGTTAAACAATATGTAATGTGCTTGAATAACCATTAGCAGGAAGTAAAATAACTAAATTCACATTTTATTATGATATATAAAGTGAACTTATGCATGTGAGATGATATTAAAGAGTGTTGATAATAAACTTGAATAATTATTCATTTTTCTTGAGTCGTGATTGCATGCAGAGCACAAAATGTGTTGTTTTGTCTGTTTTTGTTTGTTTTAGTAGATTAATATTGTTGGTTGTGTTTAATCAAGAGATTAAAATATTATAATATTGTTAGATGAAGATTATGGTTTTATATGTCCAGCGCCCAAGGCCGAGCTGGTCCAGAAGTTGACACAGGTTCATTTTGTGCAACAACCTACCGAAAACAAAAAAAAAATGACAATAACTGATTAATATTACAATTAATTAACATGCCAATGATATTAATCTACATCTAAGTTTCCATTTATCTATATTTGGACTCTAAACATGACACTGAAATGGCTACTTTTATTGTTGTACCATGTTTGTGAAGCGTGTGGCGCAGGCTAGACATGCCCGCTCTGGGGTGGCAGGGCTGTTCAGCTGGAACGGACCGGTTAAACCTGCATCTTTTCGGGCTGCAGTCACAGCGTCTTTAATAGCGAAGAACACAGAACTGCCCAAGAACAACGTTGGCTCACCAATCCCCTAAAACAAGGGGAGAAAATACACCAGAAACAAAAACCATTAAGTTCTTTGGGACCTATTTGTCATAAACATGCATTACACTCTCAGAAATAAAGGTACGTAAGCTGTAACTGGGCTGGTACAGTACCTTTTCAAAAGGTACACATTTGTACTTGAAGGGCCCAAATTGGTCCCCCAAAGGAATATTTGAGTACCTAAAACTTTAAGAAGAATATTTTGTACTTTTTAGGTACTATTATTTACCCTTTGGGGTATTAATAAGGACCTTTTAGGTACAAATTTGTATCTTTCGAAAAGGTACCACGCCAGTAACAGATTAAGTGCCTTCATTTTTGAGAGTGGACTCTTCTGTGACAACTTATGATAAAATATACAAAGAAACACTAGAACAGTGGGATATAGCACAGTTTTTTAGCCAATGTTAAACTTCCGGTGAAAGGTTTTTCTGACGAATTTTAATTTCAAATGGTTCCTCTTACAGCATTGATGTTGTAATGCCATTAAACTATAATCAGTTAAGTATTCTTGAGCATTCATTTAGCTGTTCAAGCGTAAAACGAGATGAAAGACCATGTAAACACAAGCGCCGTCAGTAGCAGCAGGCTAGCTCAGAAGCTCCATTGAAAATACTGGGGTAAAATAAATTTCCCTATTTTAAAGACATGGCATAGTGCTTCTTTTCTGGTCTGAGGCCCACTTTATTTTGTATATATCAATCAGACAGTGAAGATCGCAGATTTTTAAAGAAATCAGACCTTAAATGTGCTGATTTTTCATAAAGGCTGGGCAGTTTAAAGCGTTTGGGCTGACCATGTGCATATACCCTATTGTTCTGACTGTAAGCCAAACATCAAATTCCCTAACCTTTTGCTGACATTCACTTACAAAAAGCTAAATTTCCCTGATCTATAATGAGCAGAGAGCAGACAAACAGGAAAAATGCATGTTTTATGATTAATATGAGACTAAAATCGATAAAACCGATCAAAACAGTGATTAGCAAGCTACCTAATTAACTACAAGTACTCAATTCTGTCAGCATCCTCTTATACTACCTAATAAACGCTACTACGGATGCCTATACAACGTCCACAGTTCGATAAGCATATAAATATTGCATTTTTTTTTCAGTGTTTTTTTTTTTTTTTTGCATTCAAATTTAAAAACTGTACTTTGCATTTGCCCTAGTCCAGGGATCACCAAACTTGTTTCTGGAGGTCTGGTGTCCTGCAGATTTTAGCTCCAACCCTATTCAAACACACCTGAACAAGCTAATCAAAGATTTACTAGGTATACTTGAAACACCCAGGCAGGTGTGTTGAGGCAAGTTGGAGCACCGGACCTCCAGGAACGAGATTGGTGACCCCTGCCCTAGTCCCTTGTTTACTCAATAAAGTAACTGTTCATGTTAGAATGTATGTCTATGTGCTGAAACACGGCTCCCCACGAGTAAATGTCCTATTAGTGAGCACTAAAGTTAAGGACACTTTCACGTGAAAATGAAAATGTGAGCCGCATGTCAGAGCATGAGCATGTGTGGTCTAGGAAAGTGTTTCTCAACCAAGTTCCTGGGGGACCACCAACATTGCATGTTTTGGATGTCTCCTTTGTCACACCCATCACAGGTCTTTCAGTCTCTGCTAATGAGCTGATCATCTGAATCAGGTGTGTTTGGTTAAGGAGACAAGGAAAAATGCAGAGCTGGTGGTCCTCCGGGAACGTGGTTGGGAAACACTGATCTAGAAGCACAGAACCAAAACTCTATGCCATGCATAGGAGATCTGAGAAGTGCCACAAACTAAACACGTGAATGAAACTTATGTTGCGCAAATCAAGTCTTGCTTCTCAAGGGTATGACTCAGTTATGACCAATAATTATGTCCACCTGTCCAACTTGATGAGCAGTTGTGCCTTGGAATGTAAACTTTCGGGAAATTGTGTTGTCTTTGTCTTTCTTATTGAGCTACATCTTAAACTAAAAACAGAACTATTGCTGCTGTCTGTGGTTTTTAATATTAATCAAAAAACAAAAATCAACTTGACTGAATAGCTAGCTCAGTGCTGGCTAACATTTATGTAATTTATACAGCGAAAATTATATGAACTATGCAGTATTACATTTGATTATATTTTTCAGTTTATGTATCTGAAAACCTTCCAGTCACGAAGGTAACCCATGTTTCGCAAAGAAGAGAATGGAAACACCATGCTGGAACGACACTTTGGGGGAAATCGCTCCCCCAATCTACTGTTGGGTACATGAAAAACATTAAAAGCACTGTTTACTTTAGTATTATTTTTGCAAAAATGTATTCATTTTGTATTTTTATTATTATTTATTTTTTGCTTGTAGAGTATTTTCTTTTTATTTGACAGTGCTTTTTTACTGCATACTGCACAACATACTGTTTTATATACCAAACTGTACCGAAACGTGACCTAAAACCGAAAACTGTGTTTTTTTTGTTGCCTCCTTATAGACTGCATTAAAAAATGACATGTGAAATATTAAACAAAAAACACATGTAATACAAAATACATTTTGATAAATGGAAATTACATATAAAGAACAAAAGGCCTAATATTCCATTAATTAAAATTATGTTCCATTAAAAATAAAACTCCCTGAACTTTAATGTCTGAAACAGACATGATATTCCAGAAAACCGATATTTATACAGTTGAAGTCAGAATTATTAAACCCCCTGAACTATTAGCCCCCCTGTTTATTTCAGTCCCCAATTTCTCTTTAACGGAGAGAATTTGTTTTACCACATTTCTAAACATAATAGTTTTAATAACTCATTTCTCATAACTGATTTATTTTATCTTGGCCATGATGACAGTACATAATATTTAACTAGACATTTTTCAAGACACTTCTATACAGCTTAAAGTGACATTTACAGACTTAACTAGGTTAATTAAGCAGGTTAGGGTAATTAGGCAAGTTATTGTATAACAACAATTGAAAAAAATATATAGCTTACAGGGGCTAATAATTTTGACCTGAAAATGGTTTTTAAAAAATTAAAAACTGCTTTTATTCTTGCCGAAATAAATCAAATAAGACGTTCTCCAGATAAAAAATAATAATAATTATCAGACATACTGTGAAATTTTTCTTGCTCTGTTAAACATCATTTAGGAACTAATTTTTAATATATAAATAACTAATTTAAATAATCTTTAAAAGAGAAAAAAAAATCAAAGGGGGTTTAATAATTCTAGTGTCAATTGTATATGAAAATACATTTAGAATACTTTAAGTGATCCACAAACATAATTCACCCATGAATACACCACTGTTTGTTCTGAATAGCGCCCTCTAGTGGCGAACACTACATACTGTGCCTTTAAACTGTCAAAAACAAACAAACAAAAAATTCCATTAACGTCAAACTCTAGCTTGGTTCAACAAGGGTCTATTTGTGAGCCAATCAGTACCTTGAATGCACACAACTGGACAAATCATTTCAGAGGCCAAGATTAGTGATTCTAAATTCATGTTTAAATTAATTCCACTACTTTTAGTTTTTAGTGCTGTGGTGAAAAAGGAAATAAATAAATTCACAGAAGGTGAACCAAAAGATTCAACACCTATGTACATCATTTTTTAATGCACAGTTATTAAGGTCGCATTTGGGTTTAGGTATTGAGTAGGATTAGAAATATAGAATAAGATCATACTTTCTAAGTACTAATAAACAGCCAATATCTTAATAATAGGCATGTAATGCGTCACTATTTAATAGAGGTAATTGGCACTTTAACTGAAGTGTTGCCAAAAACATATTTTTCAGATGATCCATAGTTAAACCAATGTTATGGCCTGTTTCCACTGACTGATACAATACGGTACGGGTCACCTTTATCAGGCTTGTGTTTCCACTACCAAGGGTAGCCTTTTGGTGGGCGTGGTGAACGACAGAAAGTTTCGGTAGACGTCATTCTCGCTCTAATAAATGGAAAAGCTGTACAGGTCGTTCACAAATCATATGAGAAGCACTTCTCACAAAACAGATGCTTTATACACATAAACACTTGTGTATTTATGAACATATATAACCCCTTACAGTCTCTGAAATGATACTAATGGCAGAAAAACTACATACAGCAGACATTTAGCCCTTATTTGTGTTCAAAAACAACATGCAACATAGCCCACAGTCAGTGCAAACCTCTCATCTGTGTCTGTAATCTTCACCAGCACATGTAAACTCTATTAAAGAGTAATTCTGTCATTCCGAGTTCATAATAGTCCAGAAGGCGATGATAAACATGGCAGTTTGTTCGTGATTTAGGTTTCTGAAACAATTTGCTCCTGTGTGTTGTCGGGCTTCTCCTTTGTTTGTTCGCACTTCATTCTCGCTTTTCGCTCGTTATTATATGCATATAGTATTACAATGTAATGTCTCGGCTGTGTATTTATAACATGGCGGTATCTGTGTAACCAATCAGCGTTCAGCTACGCGTGTAGCTCCACCTTTTGGTACCCTGTTTTAGTACCCTTTCAAAAGGGTGCCGAAAAAGTGGAACGGTACGGTTCGATACGCTTTTCGTGACCGTTTCCACTGTCAAAAGGCGTATCGAACCGTACCGTTCCACTCAGTGGAAACTGGCCATTAGAATGTTCATTGAATTGATTTTGCACTACTTAGTTTGTCCACAAGGGGCAACACTGTTTGACTGTGTTGTAGGTAGGTGTGCATTTAGGATTAATACTCCAAAATACTGTTTTGCATACCAGTGAGGTTGGCATTCAGAGCCTTGTTACTTAAGTTACCACAAAATCATGCATGACTGCTAGGATAATTATTACAAATGTGTAAAAAAAGTTTCATTAGCTGTGTAAAATAATGTGCTTTTTAAATATACAAGATGTGTTATAAATATAAAGTTGATTGTAAGTTGAGGTGTCAGTAGGCTTCAGATTTGTGTGTGAATCAAATGCAAAAGACATAATACATTAGCACAACTTTGCTATGATTGTGACTTGAAGGATGAAAGAAAAATAAAAGTCCGTTGTAAGCACATGGAAGTGAGCCAGTATTAATCATGTATTTGCTCAAATAGTCACCCAAAAAAACTGATGTGCAGCCCTGAACCTTTCACGCATTTCTTGCTTTAGATGTGAATAAATGTTCGAGTGAATCACCTTTGAGGAATAGATGGCGTGAGGGTTGGATGAGCCGGCTAAAAGATAGACGTTAAAGTTGAGCGGGACGTCACATACGGCTGGGATCTTGTACTGGCCTGGGCCACGTGTGTACAAAACACCAGACGGAGAATATTTCAGCTCCTCCATGGTGTAGAGACCCAATCCCTGCGTGAACGCTCCCTCAATCTAACAAACACACACATGCATGTGATGTATATTCATATATAGTCTGAAATTACTAGAATAATCTTTGTTTTACTATGTAGTAAAACTAGAACTTTTATGAAAGTATTACAAACAGCAAATTACTACATCAGTATACTCTAAAATGTCATTTATTTCAATGACTGAAAGCTGAATTTGCAGCATAATTACTTAAGGGTTACATACACCTTCAGTGTTTGTAGTAACATGATGATTTGGTGCTAACATAATATTTATTATTATTATTATTATTATCATGAATATTCATGCAAAATGATTAATCACAACTAAATGTTTTGGTATAAAACACGTGTATACACATCGATAGATAATATAATGTATTTTATTAATTACATCAAGTGTAGATAGATAAATAGTGCACATTTAGGTACTATAATATAATATAATATAATATAATATAATATGATATAATATAACATAACATAATATAATATAATATAATTAATATAATATAATATAATATAATATAATATAATATAATATAATATAATAAACTTGAATAGTAAAAACTTAAAATCTATTCTTGTATCTGTCACAAGGGGGCGCTAAAAACATATATACAGTAATCTAGTATACATTTGTTGCTAGAAAGAATTAATTTGTATATAAAATCCTACCTGACCAATATCGATGGACGGATTTATACTTCTGCCAATGTCAACAACAATATCCGTCCTCAAGGTCTATAAGGAAAAGATGCAGTATGTTAAATAGGTTTTACAGTGATAATCAGTGTGTGTATATGACCAAAATCATCAGCATTTATCTGGATTTACCCTGTACTCTCCAGTCAGACAGTCTAGCTCCACCTCACTGCAGCAAACTGCATATGTAAAGTAAGCATAAGGTCTTCCCTCCTGCTTCTCCCAGTCCATGTCCAGATCATGACCTCTGTAAACAGACAAAATGTTTCTTTAATCAGACACATCAAACAGAAACTCCTTGTTTTGTCTGTTTTGAAGCATTTGTTTATTACTGCTAAACTTAGAAAAAAAAGAAAAAGAAAAAAAGTTGTTTCTAAGTGAAATCTGGATGGCTTACCTGTAATATCCTGTTGCCGACAGACTGATTTTCTCCAAAAACGCTTTCATAATCTGTTAAGACATAAATACAAAAATATAAAAGAGGAAAGTTTAAGGCATTTATCAAAGAAAGGAACTTTAAGTCACTGACAACCTTCAGTAGCATTTTTTTAGTAATATATTACATAGATTTGTAACATTTTTAAATCTAATATATGTTTTTAAATATATTAAATTCTTTCTCTGATAATTTGATAATTATAGCACAATATATTTTTATATTACATAATATTATATATTATTATAGTAAAAAAGTAAAAGTACTATTTATTTTTTATAAAAGAGACAAAAAATTAATTTTTAAAACTGTATACATTTGTTCAAAATATTAGTTCAAAATTAAATTAGTGATGGCATGCATGAAAAACAAATGTAATATATGAAAATGATTCATTCGATTGAAGTAAGAGTAAAAAAATAACATTTGTCAATACAATACTTCATTATAAGAAGACAACTGTATTAAATTTAGTAAATTAATAATTTATTACACTAATAAAATGTCAATAAAATACATACAAGCTTAATAATTTATCAAATTCTGATTAATTATTAATTTGGATACTTCTTAAATAATAAATAACAATAAAAACATTAATTTAGACAATATTATTTTCCTTTTTTTGATATATATATATATATATATATATAGTTTAAAGGGGCTAATAATTTTAAATTTAAAAGGTGTTTAAAAATTAAAAACTGCTTTTATTCTAGCTGAAATAAAACAAATAAGACTTTCTCCAGAAGAAATACATATTGTGAAAATGTCTTTGCTCTGTGAAACATCATTTGTCATTTGGGAAATATTCAAAAAATAAAAAAAAATTGAAGGGGGGCTAGTAATTCTGACCTCAACTGTATATATATATATATATATATATATATATATATATACATACATATATATATATCTATATATATATATTTTATGGGTGTCACAATCCTCCAAATCCTCGATTCAATTACATTTTCGTTTCTGAAGTCACGGTTCAATACGATTTTAGATTTAAAAAAGAACAATTTGAAAGCATATATATATATATATATATATATATATATATATATATATATATATATATATATATATATATATATATACACAGTATACATACATATCACTACAGAATATCGTAGCATTAATCAATGCATCAATTATCTTTGTTTTGCTATAAAAATAAAAATGCAAAACGTTTTAGATCACTTTACCCAGTTCTGCCATGTCCCCTTAGGATCCTTTTTTCTGACTGGCTCCAGTCTGTTGTATAATATTTGGCAGGCATCCTGTAAAAGTATGATTTTCACACTCCAAAAATGCATTAAAAGTGTACAATGTCCAATCAAAACCTTATCTTAAATCAAATCTGTCTCCTACAGACCAAAAATCAACAAATTCTGTTGTCCAATTTAATCTGGTGCTTTTAAAATGCTGTGTTTATACCTGCACTGCCATCCCGTTGGCATCGGTACCAAAGGATGCAGCAGACGGGCAGGTATTCGGGACACACTGTGTGCTGGTTTCAGAAATGTGGATCAAAGATGCAGGAATATTCAGCTCTCGACTGGCCACCTGTGATAAAACAACCAAGATCAGCCCGAAAACTAATTTGCTGTGAGCAATGTTCGCTTATACAGCCAGTTTTGATATTATATTTAGAATTAGTCTCATGCTGACTTAACACCAAACATCGATATTACAACTCGTACTATTTGAGTATATAACATACAAAGTCAATTCAACAGAGATGAATTTGCATCAAGCCATCGCAAATGACGCAAAATGCTGGAAATATTTTCTGCATTAAAAAATGTAGGAAGATCAAATGTATCTCGAGCAGACAATATTCAAAACATCCTACGAGTAATCTGGAAAAAATGCACACATTTGCGTTTTATTTGACGTGAACCCACAGTTAGTCTAGTCATATTTTAATCATCTGAACTGTTTTAATTATAATCTAGTTATAACTGACAAAATTTCATAACATTAATTGAACATTCGCTTTCTTTTATTTCACACAAAAACATGAAATTAACTTAGTCAACTCAACTAAAATAACAGTTTGAGTCAATGCTTTACTACTTTAAGCATGTGTCGAAAATGTTTAAGCGTTTTTTATATACACCTGCATTAAATACTTACTCTCAATTACTTTCTATTTGTATGACCAGTATTTCAAACAAAAAAAATCTGTAGTCATACCATAGATCAGTGTTTCTCAACCATGTTCCTGAAGGACCACCAGCTCTGCACATATTCCATGTTTCCTTAACATTAACAGAAGCTGAAAGACCAGAACCGGTTGTGACAGACTAGGGAGACATACAAAACTTGTAGTGCTGGTGGTCCTCTAGGAACGTGGTTGAGAGCCCCAGCTATAATAATACGTAAATAATAAAATAATAATAAATAAATAACAATAATGAAAATCAATGTTGCCAGGGCCACGGTTTTCCTGCTATTGAACTCTACTGAAAGTTATAAGAATAAAAAAATATGAAGTTTTGGGTTGCGACTTCTTTCATAACGTGCATCAAGATTTTTCTTTCTTGCAAATCTTTGTGTGGGTTTGAGTTATCGTTGGGCTGGAAAACTTACTTTGACCTGGCAACCTTGCTGGAGCCTCACATGCACTTACAATATTTAATTTACAGCATTGACGTGATATAACACACACACGATCATCCTTAACGAGATCCTATTGTGGGTTTTTGAAAGTGACCTGAATGTTGTGGAACCAGGGGCTTGACAAACCGTGCTGAACGCTGTCGACCAATCACAACAGGCTGTCATAAGTCTAATCAGCGCAGATTAGCTTCAGGCTAAGGAGGGCTTTGGTAACATTGGGAACAAATTAATCACTGAAGGATTTATATGGGAGTCGCTGGGATAATTAGGTAAAAATAAATTCATATGATAAGACCATGAAAGTGTTTTTTAACCTTGCCTGCAAATCAGTATGTTGTTGGAGACCCATATATCCAAAATATGACCCTTTTTAATGTATAATAGGGGCTCTTTAAATGCAAACAATGTCCCATTTCTGAAGGACGCGATCAGACGTGATACTGTAAAACTATGTAACTACAGAGAAAATCAACAGCTTATATATTTTATATATTTTATATATAAAATATATATTATATATTTTATTATATATATTATATATATATTATATATTTTATTATATATTTTTTTCTGAATAATGCTGCGTCCGTTCCCGCTGCTCTTCTGACGTAATTTCCAACTTATTCCTAAAAGCAAATCTTTTCTCAAAATGACAGTGACTGCTTTGTTTACAAGCTTTTGGCCGTTCAAGTCATTCTCCACATGTGATTTGCATTTGAATGACAGAAGCAGGACAGTTTGACATTTTTTCCCCATTCAAAACTATATGAGTGACATGTCTTGTGTATTCTGTAGTCTTTGAGGCTAACATTGGTGCAGAGTAGGAAAAACAAGACAAGGAGATTTTCACACCCTTAAATATGTGCACAACCATGGAATCGAAATTCAACGATAAGTATTATTAGCTCTTATTCACTCATAAAAATGTTGATACATTGAGCACTAGCTGTACCTGTTGGATTTTAGTGTGTAGGCCTTGACCCATTTCTGCCCCGCCGTGGCTCACCAGCACAGATCCATCCTTATAAATGTGCACGAGAGCTGCAGCCTTGGGTATAAACACACAAAAACACAGATAAATCATCTGGTGGTCAACTATTAAGAAGTTTAAAACTGCCTAAAGCATGTTTTAGGGAAGGGTAAACCTGGTTGAGGAAGCCCTCAGCAAAGCCAATGCCGTATTTGATGGGTATGATGGAGATTCCTCTCTTCTTGAACTGGTTCTGCTGGTTGAAGAGATCGATGGCTTTACGGCGATGACTGAAGTCAGATTTCTCCATACACTCCTTCCAGCAGCGGACAAGGTTTTCTGGGTCAAACTCCATCTTGTAGTGAGTGAGGGAAACTTGCTTGTACATGTTCATCTCCCTGATCTGCAAAAGTAAAATGATAGGAGATGAAGAAATAAGAAAGTGAATAAAAGTTTGCTGTTATATCAGAAGACGCTATAATCATTACAAATACAAATTAATAAACAAACAGGTCCACATTTGTAAATTAAATGTACATATTGATGGCAAAAAAGTACAAGTGTGTAGTGCAATTGTCAGCATTAAAGGTAAATATAATTAATCAGCGCAAAAAAAGCTATATTAATGAAAAATATTTTTTTATTTTTTTTATTTCAGTATGATAATGTATTTTTAACTGAAATGGAATATTGAGTAAGAACGATGTTTATTTTTTGCTCCTCCTCTCATCGGTTGGAGAGATGTGGCAAAGCAAGTTTCACCCAAGCTGTCAAACTGACATCATCAGAGAAGGACTGCCGCAAATGGTCCGATTTTGATTTATAACTATCAAAACAAACCTTTTTTTCAGTGGATAAACAAATTAATCGTTCACTGTAAGATTAACAATGCGCGCTAACAAAATTAATATAGAAAGTTTTGATACATTTTATATCTGAACTTTAATATTTACTTTAATTTAACTTAATAATTGATTCAATTTAACATTAACTTTAATATACTTTAGTATTTAATTAATTATTTATTATTATTTAATTTACTTTAACATTTATTTTAATATTTTCTTAATTATTTATTAGTATTTAATTCACTTTCATTTTTACTTTAATTTACTTTAATATTTAATTATTTGTTATAATTTGATTCACTTTAATATTTACTTTAATTTACTTTAATATCTAATTCATTATTTATTTATTATTATTTAATTCAGTTAAATATTTATACTATATACTTTAATTCATGAATAAAGACAAAGAAATGAATATTTATTCCCAGAATTACATGAACGGCTACATGAATGATAAATAAATAGTCATTAGAATATTAGCATCAACAACTGAAATAAATAAATATTTCATATATATATATATATATATATATATATATATATATATATATATATATATATATATATATATATATATATACGATACAATGTTTATTTTTTTTCCCCGATTTCTGTTTAACAGAGAGGTTTATTCAACACATTTCTAAACATAATAGTTTTGATAACTGTTTTCTAATAACTGATTTATTTTATCTTTGCCATGATGACAGTAAATAATATTTTACTAGATATATGTTCAAGACACTTCTATACAGCTTAAAGTGACATTTAAAGGCTTAACTATTTCAACTAGGCAGGTTATATTAGTTAGGCAAGTTATTGTATAACGATGGTTTGTTCTGTAGACTATCAAAAAAAACAAAATAAGTTTAAAACAAATAAGACTTTCTCAAAAAGAAAATACATTATCAGACATACTGTGAAAATTTTCTTTGCTCTGTTAAACATCATTTGGGAAATATTTAAAAAATAAATAAAAAAATTAAAGGGGGCTAATAATCTTTAAAAGCAGTCCATTTACGTGATCATTAGTGAAATATATAATAATTTCTAATAATATATTAAAGCTGTATGATGTAAATGGGCTAAACGTAAATCTCATTTTGTGCCTGCATGGCACAAACCTCTTCAGGTAGACGTCCGAGTTGAAGAGCCACATCATCAATCATACTCTCGATGACCAGCATACACTGGGGCACACCGAACCCTCTAAATGCAGTGTTGGAGGGCAGGTTGGTCCTGCAGGCTGCAGATCGTCCGCGCAGGTTGGGAATGTTGTAAGCATTATCGAGGTGCAGGAGGATCTTCTCTGCGACCTGGAAAAGTAAAGTATAAAAATGACACAGTATTACTTTGCCATCATAAAAGCACTGAGAAACATTTGCTGAAGGTGTGGATTAAAAGTATTTAATGTTGAAAATAATATTCATACTTCACTAGACCACGATGCATCATCGGGAGCCACAGGTATTGATTTTGTGTTGCTTGTATGTTTGTTTTGACTCTCAAAGTGCTGATAGCTCATGACTTATAAGCTGATAGTGCTGACATTTTATGAATCATCTTGAATGCTGGTGTTAACTCAAATTCTTAAGGCAAGACACTGAACAGATAAAAACATAACTACAGTAGTAGTTATCACCATACTTCCTCAGCTGATTGATTACATTAAGAATTGCAAACGTTTTTTGTCTTACATGTTTTCTAATGTGGTCCAAATAAGCCACTATTTCAGTAAACATACTAATTTGCACACATTTCTAGCACAAAAGTAAGGACATTTTTTTGTTTACATATTAAAGTCAAAGGTTTTTACAGAGAGGATTTTGGGAGTCTCTTTTTAACCATCTACACTCTCAGAAATAAAGGTACAACAGCTGTCACTGAGGTGGTACCTTTCAAAAAAAGACACTTTTGTACCTAACAGTTCCACATTTGTAAATTAAAGGTGCATATTAATGCCTAAAAAGTACAAACGTGTACCTCATAGTGCATTAAAGGTACACATTATTACTTTTAAGGTACCAATGTGTAGCTGTAAGTTATAAACGTGCACCTTTACCTTTAAAACAGCCAGAATTGTTTTTTCTTCGCAATTTTTGTCAGCATAAAATGTACATCTAATCACGCAAATATCACACAGTATAAACAAATTCCTCTGTAAAACCTTTAGAATACAGTTATGAATAAAACTGTGCACTTTGTTGTATGCAAGTGCTGCTGCAGTGGAGGTTTACGGTTCAGAGATGAAGAAAAAGCTACTTTTGAGAATGTGAGAATTTGGATCTGTCTTCAGAAGTCATCTCACCAGTACGGACTCATCCACTTTGTTTCCAGAATTGGCGTAGTACTGGAAATCAGCTGCTGTTATCCTTCCATTCTTCATGAATCCCACCTGTTGGTGGGGAGTCCAACTTAGTTAAAACATTGCAACATATAAACAATTGACATATACAGTTGAAGTCAGAATTTTTAGCCCCCCTTTGAATTTCTTTTTCTTTTTTAAAATATATTTTCCAAATGATGTTGAACTGAGCAAGGAAATTTTCACAGTATGTCTGATAATATTTTTTCTTCTGGAGAAAGTCTGATTTGTTTTATTTAGGCTAGAATAAAAGCCGTTTTTATTTTTTTAAACCCATTTTAAGGTCAAAATTATTAACCCCTTTAAGCTATATTTTTCGATATGTAACTAACCTGCCTAGTTGACCTAATTAACCTAGTTAAGCCTTTAAATATCACTTTAAGCAGTAGTGTCTTGAAAAAAATCTAGTAAAATATTGTTTACTGTAATCATAGCTAAGATAAAATGAATCAGTTATTAGAAATGAGTTATTAAAACTATTATGTTTAGAAATGTGTTGAAAAAATATTCTCTTCATTACACAGAAATTGGGGAAAAAAATAAACATTTAATAATTCTGACTTCAACTGTATATACAGACTGGCAAGTTTATAGAATATCCACTAGCCTTGTATTTTCCCCACACTGGGTGACGTCCTCCGGTTATCAGCATGTCTTCTCCTCTTTCCAAAACACATCGCACTGGAAGTCCAGTTCTAGACAGAGAGTTTTTCTTACCAAACACTTTATAACCATTCATATATTTATTTTCCTTCGGCTTAGTCGTTTTATTCATCAAGGGTCATCACAGCGGAATGAACCGCCAACTTATCCAGCATAAGTTTTACACAGCGGATGCTCTTCCAGGAAACATACACACTCATACACTACGGCCAATTTAGTTTATTCAATTCATCTATAGCGCATGTCTTTGGATTGTGGGGGAAACCGGAGCACCCGGAGGAAACCCACGCGATTATGTGGAGAACATGCAAACTCCACACAGAAACACTAACTGACCCAGTCGGGACTCAAACCAGTGACCTTCTTGCTGTGAGACGACCACTGAGCCATGTGTCGTCTTTCAAAACCATTTAAAATTTTTTTTTGTATAAATAAAATTTAATTTAAATGTATCTGTATGTATGCAAATGCGTTTCAACTCACTTCCATGCCGCAGCTGCAGTGATGGAGGCCAAAATGGCAGTTTTGGTGACCTTTCCCCCGAAGGCTCCGCCCAATCGCTTAACGTGACAAGTAACACGATTGGATGGAATTCCCAACGTTTCTGCAACTGCCTCCTATAACCAATTAAAACATAAAAAAAACTCTCAACTTTTTTTATTTGCAAAAATAAAATAAAAATGTAATTCGAAACAAAATAGTCTCATAATTCAAATGAAAACATTAAATAAAAAGTGATAAAACGACTATAACAACTAATAAAACAGCTAAATTAATAAAATAATTTAATTAATACAATTAATAAGATAAAAAAAGTTTTGGCTACTGACTCCTAAAATAATTTTTTTTTTTTTTTTATATAATTGTTTTTAATAAACAGTTTAACTTTTTTAAGTACCTGATCTGATAAGAAAAGCTACATTTAAAGTAAATCTTAAAATAAAAGAATAAATAAATAATATAATTATTTAAATATGGCACAGAATTTGACTCCTACACTGAAATTAAGCTTTTTAATTTCCCTGACAATATTGTCCCTCATTATTATTATTATTATTATTATTATTATTATTACCTATAATAATAATAATAATAATAATAACGATTAACTAATAACTATTATTATTATTATATTTATTATGATTTATTATTGTTATTGTTAGTATTACTATCCCAGATAATAATAAAACAACAGCAACAACAACAACAACAATAATAATAGTAATAATAATAATAATAATAATAATAATAATAATAACAACAATGTTATTATTATTAATAATAATAATAATTAACTAGTATCTATTATTATTATTATTATTTTTTATTATTAATATTACTATCATCATCGTTAGTTTTACTAACTTAGATAATAATAAAATAACAATAATAGTAACAACAACAACAACAACATAACAAAAACAAAAATAACAATAAAATACACTAAAAATCTAAAATAAGTTTCAGTATTAAATTCAAAACTATATGGATGATTTTTCCCCCTAATCCACACAATAGATAAATAAATAAATTGAAGTATCTAATATTTTTGAGGCCTTTTTATTTCATTGTTAGCTCTATATGTAATTGAGCAGATATAAAACGTACCTGCGTATATGTAGGATGCTGAGTTGACAAATAAACCTTCATCTCCTTCTCTTCCCCAACTGGAACGACCAGAAAACTCTGAGTTTCCATGTAGAAATGCTCCTGTCCTCCAATCCGAATCTCCCCTAAGAAACACGAAGCAGCTCATAATAAAACATGAATCAGGAAATCAAGCAGGAGGTGTGCTTAATAATGGATAAAGTAACCCAGTGTTACCTTCATACACTTGCTCGGCATCTCTCAATCCCTTTTCCACATCTCCTCGCTCGATCTGTCTTCTAGGCAGGAAGAAAGACTCTTTTTCGATGGCCTCCTGAAAAGAAGATACGTGAGCATCTTGATCCAAACAGAATATCCAGTTGGATTACGCGGTTAGAATAAGTCCTCTCACCTCCAAAGTGAAGATGCAATCCTGTAGATCTTCATAGCTAACTTTTACCGCTGCCGCTCCACGTTTAGCATGCGCTTTTGAATCTGCAACCACAGCGCAGATCATCTGACCAACACAGGACACCTGAGGACAAAAAAGTTGTGAAGTTAAGTGAAGTGTGATGCTACTCAAAGAGGTCAGAGGAAGTCAATTAGCACGTTGCTAGCATAATTAAGTAAACCTTTGTTAACCTGAATCAGCATGTTGGATTTGACAGATTTCTAGCATTTTGCTAACATGAAAAAACATGTTAACAGCATGTTTGCAGTATAGACAGCATGTTTTATGTTAGCATAAAATAACATGTTGACAGCATATTTTGTAGTATGGTTAGCATGTTTTATGTTAGCATGAAATAACATGTTGACAGCATATTTTGTAGTATGATTACCATGTTTTATGTTAGCAGGAAATTACAAGTTGACAGCATGTTTTTGAAGTATGGTTAGCATGTTTATTTTAGCATGAAATATAATGCTTACAAGAAATAACATGCTGAAAGCATGGTTTGTAGTATGGTTAACATGTTGTATATTAGCATGAAATATAATGTTAACCTGAAATAGCATGTTGACAGGATGTTATGTAGTATGGTTAGCATGTTTTATGTTAGCATGAAATATCTCGTTGACAGCATGTTTTGCAGTAGAATTAGCATGTTTTATGTTAGCATGAATTAACATGTTGACAGCATGTTATGTAGTATGGTTAGCATGTTTTATGTTAGCATGAAATATAATCCTAACATGAAATTGTAGTAACATGTTGTTCGTTAGCATGACTTATAGTGTTTGCTAATATGTTTCCATTATGACTTGGAAAGTTTCTGGAATGGATGGCAGTTAGTTAACAAGAGTTAGTATGTTATTAGTAATTGTAGTAGTAGATTAGTATGTTTAGTATTAGTATTAGTATGCATGAATTAGCAAGCAGCTAACATGTTTCTAACACGAATTATCCCTTTGCAGGTATGTTCCTTAACATTTTGCTTTGCTAGCAATATGTTTCAAGCGTGAATTAACATATTGTTAGAATGAATTAGCGCACTGCCAATGTCTTTGAATGAATTGGAAAAACATGATTAGCATTTAATTATAAATCAGCATGTTTACAGTAAAGTTTGATGACAAACTTTGATGCTGGCTTGACAAAGCCAACTCTGAATTTTAAAATAATGATTCAGAGATTTAATAAACATGTCGCTAATATGGTTCAAGCATGTTTAAACTCTGGTACCCTGAATTATCATGTTTAACATGTTTCATAAATTACTATACCTCTAATATGTTTTACCATGTTTAGCATGCCAGACACATGAATTAGCCTGTTGACAGACATTGTCATATTTAATTAGCATGTTACTTCACATGAATAATGTAATAACACAGAGACCTCATCTTCAGCCAGCAGTTCCTCATCATAGCCGGTGAAGGTTCTGAACTTTTTGCCCGGTATGTCTTTAGCAGTGATTACGTCCACAACACCAGGCAGCTTCAGAGCTTCACTGAAGTCAATATGACTGTGAAATGAGGAAAACACAACTATTTATTATGGAGTTCTTCAATTATTCCATTTCTGGGTTCATTTTAGTGTCCAAGTCACAAGCAACTATAAATTATTGCAGCTTACATACAAGTAATAATGCTCAATTTATCAAATAAATAACTGAAGCAAGCAAACAAATATAAATTGTGACATCAACATAAATGACAACAAAGACAGTAAGGACTTTATTAATGTGTCTTACGTGATTTTGGCATGTGCTTTGGAGCTGGTCACAATGGCAAGGACAAGTTCACCATCGGTGTATGGCAGATCATCACAGTAGACTGCCTCTCCAGTAGCCTGACTCAGAGCTGACCGGTGCATCATTGGACGGCCCACCAGATCTTGAGCCGACTGGTCCTCCAAGACATTCTGTATATAAAAACACATAGTCTGCTAATTATCCTCTGCAGGATAAATTTTATAAAAAGGACCTTTTATATAAAGTATAAAGGGTATTTTATATCAAGTAAGTGAACAGAAATGATAGATAGAGAGAAAGGAAAGAGTATATGACTGTTGCAAGCTGAATTCGAACACAAAATTCCCATCTGAGCATCATGAAAAAATGTTTTTGAGCAATACAATATTTTATACACTGCTAGCATAAATAAGATTTAATAACAACAGAAAACACCTATTACATGTTTATTTTTCTGTGATTGTTGCATTAATAAATGATTTTAAAAATTATTTTAAAAAATTGTATTTCTCTAGGGAAATGTTGCAATACATGTCAACAACATCGCACATTATTCCAGTATCATGTCATAGCCTTAAATCTGATCAACCAAAGATCTTAAAAACCAACCAAAGCTCTTAATGCATCTTATAGCAGGTATAGCAGGTATAAATTCCTAATTAAGTAACATTAACATCACACTACCTGAAATTCTTGATAACCAGGTAGAATGCGTTTTGGAAGAGGTTGAATCGCACTTTGCATCTCTTGTGGTACTTCCATCTGAATCACATCCTGTTTAGAAAAAAGGACACAGAATATATAATCTTGACGTTCATGTGACGACCATTTCCAAAAGTGGAACATACTTTTTCCTTCAGATACTGGAGGATGAGTAGATGGAATTTAAAAAGCAAGCTCAAAGTCAGGGATCTTCTGAAATCCACTTTCCCGCCTGGAGCCGCAGGGTCAAGTTTGACGTCATCAAACAGTGCGCTGTACGCATCGTTTAATGTCGCCTCTTCCCAAGGCCTTCAACAAAGAATGATAGAGAAGAAAAAACAATGTTGGACTTGTATTTGAAAGGTTGAATGTTCTGGATGGAATTAAAGATAGGGAGACTGAATGAACAGCAGTTTCTCCACCTTCGATACCCATCTGAGGTGCCCCTGAGCAAAGTAGCTAGCCCCTAACTGCTCCTCGGCTGCTGGAAGATAGCTGCCCACTGTGTGTGTGTGTGTGCCCTCTCACTTGTGTGTGCACTTGGAACTTTATAGCTTTATACTTGACAATACTTAGTTCACTCACTTTACTTTCAGAATAAAGAAACACATAAAGGTTTGAGGGAGAGTAAATAGTATAAAAATGTTCATTTTGGGCTGAACTCTCCCATTAAGACAGTGTTTCTCAACCACATTCCTGGAGGATCACCAGCTCTGCGCATTTTTCGTGTCTCCTTAACCAAACACACCTGATTCAGAGCATCAGCTCATAAGCAGACACTGAGAGACCTGTAATGGGTGGATAAAAGGAGATAAAAGGAGATATCCACACATGCAGCGTTAGTGGGCCTCTAGAGAAACACTGCTTTAAGGAACTAAACTTTTTAAAGGGTAACGAAACACCAAAACATATTTTTTGAGCTGTTGACAGTCGTATATGTGTCCCACACTGCTACTATTAGGACACATATATTTCACAAAAAAGTAAAAATTGGTTGTTTTTGCGTTATTTCGTACAAATTCGTACTTCTGGTTTGAAACTAATTTAAGAAGCTGCGTCACGGCCATGAGGTCTTAGCGTGTATTTCAGAATGTAGACTGGACGTCTGTACTAGGGAGTACCTTATGACATCTCTGAGTGTGCCGCATTAATTTATGAGTATGACTTGGTTCAAACCAATCAGCGCGCTCTATTGTGTATGCGGTGCAACTTTATTTATAAGCATGATAGCTTCCAAGACTGTTTTTACAGTGTTGAGACGGCAGAGAGATGCTGTGTTGTGTTGCCAAGCGGGAGAACATGAATTGTTTGGAGATATGAGTCGTCAGTGTTGCGTTTATAATTTGCTGCAGTAAAGGTTTTGTTTTCATTTTCCCTCTATGAGAGCGCAGCTGGACTTACTTGTGGATTACAGTACACGCGATGCTCGACAGAAATACGTGTCTAAAGAACATTGTTTACCGGAGAGCTTTTCTCATCTGGAAATGGTGAAATTCTGATTTGCCACTCATCTCCTTTTAATAAAGACGCAGCTCCAGTTGTTGTTGATTGTCCTGTCTCTACAGATTTGGTAAGTGAGCAATCAGTGGTCTTTGTTTGTTTATGCAGAGGCATAGTTAATTCATATCGTCAGCAGTACTCTTTCAGTGTTTAAAAACGGACCTTAGTCAAATGATTTCTAAGTTAATAAAGTGTACCGTACGTTAATATCACTACAATATTATGGATGGTAAATGTTGCTCTACCGAATGTAAACGTGTAAGCACCACAACCAAGCTTACTGTCGTGGAGGATTTTCGCCGCATTTTGTGACAGGAATAACACACTCGGCTTTCTGACGCTACCTACCGAGTGCATTTAAGTTACAGAGCATGCGGAGGGTTTTTTTTCTCTCATTTGTCGTGCGGTAACAAACATTGCATAAAAAATATACGCTTCCAGCTATTCCTCAAATCAAATATCTCATTTGTCACAAGGGGCATGAATGAAATTCCTGAATGAAAAAGCCAAACTGCAGTTAAACTCCACCATTTAATAATTTGGCAAATAATTCGATTACTGATGTCCATGTAAACACAGTCACTGTCTTTCTCCTCTGCGTCTGTGTTTGTTTTGCCTGTGTTAAAATCAGCGCGTGCCCAAACCAGCACTCCCATTTTTATGCAAATTTTTACAGACCATGCTTTTTTCGCTCCTCCGACACTCCCCCCTAAACAGAGCTAGACACGCCCACTTTCCTGACTTTTTCTAATGTAGAGGTGTGAAAACACCCTGCTGTAACAGGGGGTTTTCATGGCCCTTTAATGCTACGCAGAAAAACACGAATTTGCATCTTGCCTTCCTACAATCTTCTGGCATGCATGGTCTGCGCTGAGAATTGTGGCTCCAACTCCTCCATAGTAAATACTGATCTCCTTCACCACATTTGAGTTGTCATTGAGCCAAACCCGCATCCCAGCATTCAGTGTGGCTAATGCGTTTTCCTTGCGCGGGACGTGTCGGAAGGCATGGACAATCTCGTTCTGTCAAAAAAGTTCAATATGTTGTATTAATTGCATGAAAGAATTGCTCAAAAAACAGCTGATAGTTAATTTCATACTTGTCTTGTAGCTGGAATGAAAACAGACAACAGTATTTCTTCTGGCTTTAGAATCGTCTTTGCAAATCCAAGGAAAAAGTCTTTATCAATAGGCAGCCTTCTTCGTCCATCTGTTGTGAAGATTTACGTTGAGAAGTGAGATGTAGGTCAGGAAGACATCAGAATTTAGAATTTAAGCAAAATGTAAACATTTCGCAGTGCTTTGAATTACTGGATATAATCTAGAACTGATTTAATAGAATATATAAAGTATTTATAAATAAATATAAAGTTTGGTCACCTTTAGAAAGAGCTACAAGAGTGCATCTGCCAGCAGCTAACACAGGGGTCAGGTCTGAGTTTGGATATGCACTTGCAATATTGCCACCCAGTGTCTACATTTGACAACAAAGATAAATCAGAAATAACAATATTCATTCGTTCATTTTCCTTTGACTTATTCTCTATTTCAGAGATCGCCACAGCAGAATAAACCGCCTACTATTCCGGCATATGTTTTATGCAGCGGATGTCCTTCCAGCCTCAAACCCAGAACTGGGAAACACCCATACACACTCATTCACACACAAACACTCATATACTACGACCAATTTAGTTTATTCAATTCACCTATAGCGCATGTGTTTGGACTGTGGGGGAAACCGAAAGACCCAAAGGAAACCCACGAGAAAACATGTAAACTCCACAAAGAAATGACAACTAGCCCAGCCGGGACTCGAACCAGTGACCTTCTTGCTGTGACGCGACAGTGCTAACTACTGAGCCACCGTGCTGCCCACAATAATACTATAAATAATAAAAGAATTATAATATAATAATAAATAATACAAGCAGTTTAATTTCAATAAGACCCCTAATTGTTTAATACTATTAGCATAAATAATATTAATCAAATAATTGTCTATACAGTGCTAAAATGTATTTAAGTTAGTTATTTTGCATATTAAAACTTTTTAAGTTGAATTTGTAAAAAGAAAAAAAAACAAAAAACATGATATTTGTGAATGTTCCAATGGTAATGTTTACATACAGGATAAATTACACTTACAGCCACGTTGCGGATCTGTTGTCCTCCAACGAGGTTTATCTGCTGCAGAAGAGCCCGAAACGTGTGTGTGTTCTCTGGTGGAAAATCATTTATAGTTTTCTCCAACACGCTCTTCAGATCTGACATACTACATCCAGCTCCGACACACACACCTACAAATAATAAAAATAATAATAATTCTCGCTGATTTATTTTTAGTTTAAAGCAATTAATCTTAATGAATGTCCTAATGAATGGGTCAAAAGATTTGTTGAATTAGAATAAAAATAAATGTTTATTTCAGGGATAACTCTTTGAAAATGTTAACATTAATTGTTCATAATTCATTATTTGTGTAATTACTATATTTTGTTCAACTGTTGTGTGAAATCAATGTCAATCATCATCAGTCATCTTATTTGTGAAACTTAAACTTACAAAACAAAATAAATTAAGAATAAAATCTGCATTGGTCAATAAATTATATAAATGCATTAAAAACTATTAAAACTATTATAGTTTTAGTATTAAAACCGAAATGAAAAGTTTAATATTATATATACACATTACAATAAATAAAACTGAGAAAAGCAAATAAAATAACCAAGAAGAAAAATAAAAACAGAAAATATTAGGTGCAGAAAATACTAAAATAGTTTATTGATTCAAAATATAAACACATACCCTCTGATCTGTGGTTAACCTTGAACAATTCTGGGACTCGTGTTGGAGATATTATTATGGGATGGAAGATACCCTTGAATTTCATGTCCAAACCTGATCAAACAAAGCAAAATAGCATGAAATAAAATAAATTACAAAAGAAAAGTAGAAAATGTTTTATAATAAAGTAAAATACCACGAAACAGTGAAAAGGCACGGAAATTAAATACAATTATTTTAAATAAACAAAGCAAATATTAAAATAAAATAGATACATTTAAAAAGTTATATATTCTAATTAGATAAATTACGTGAAATATATTAAACAGAAAAATTACATTAAAAATGACAAAGTAAAATGAAACAACATCGCTAAACAAAGTTGATTAAACTAAAATAAATGACTACAAAATGTTTTTAAATAAAATTAAGCATATTTTAATTGACAAATAAAACTAAGATAAATCAAATAAAATGAAGTACAAGTAAAATTAATTGAGGTTAAATAATAACAGCTATAAAAATAAATAAAACTATTCAGACAATGACGAAAACAAAAAATAAGAAATCTGATTTATGAAAAATATTATAGTGCATTATTTGCAAAATAAAATATATTGGAGTTTAAAGACCCTTTTCACAGTTCGTCATAGAACAAAAAACTTTAAGCGCCTTGAATGGGAAAATACAACAAATAATTTTTTACATTCTTATTTGCTCAAATAATAAACGAAAATCTAAATTATGTAGTTATAGAGACTTTTAGAAAAAGGCAAAAATGAGACATGTGAGACTGGTGATGGCAGCCAGAGGAGAGAATAATGTCAAATTTACTGTTCTGCCCCATAGACGCTGCATTTGAAATTTCTTGCACAATCAAAATTTGTTTTTTTGTCATTTCAAGCAAAGATAATATACTCCTTACATAAATACATATAAATATTTGTATGATAAAAAATATGAATATGAAAAACTTTAAAGGATTTAAGATGCTGATCACAGTTAAAAACATCATAACAGGCTTGTGAAAAGGGTCCATAAAGTTTGGCCACTGTTTGCTCAAACGCAACCTATAGTGGTGTTCCCCATGACCAAAGGGGCTTGTGGGTAATCAGCCTTCAGCTGGAGCAGCTCATCTAGAGATCCAGGACTGATCCAGGTCATTCTCTCCCCACAGAACCTCTGAATGCTCTGATCCTTGTCCTCCGCCATTCTCTGAGCACAACAGTAATAAACATGTTATTTAGTTGATAACAGCTTTTGAACTTGTGACAGAAAGTGATGCCTAATAAAGAGTTAATAATATACCAGAGACAACGTCATTAGCTTAAACATTTATCTAATGTGTTATATTCAAGATCTTTACATAACCCATTGTATAAGAATGTAAGGATTGAGAAATCTGACTGACCATGAGCTCAGGAGGAAAGATCAGGTCCTGGGACGGGTCGAGGGGAAGCAGGTCATCTTTACTGAACAGCTCTGCATGACCCTTTTTAGTAATATATGATAACATTATTATTATATAATTATTATATTCTATTTTAAAAACATATAAAGTATAATAATATTAAATAATAACAAACTATAACTTTAATATTCCTGTCTCAAACATAATCAAATTATTATATTAAGCATGTTAGCATGTTTTATGTAGTAGAATATTGTTTGTAGAATGTTGTTAGCACATTTTACCGCACAGCTAACATGTTCCTTTGTTTTAACATGCTGTTACCATGTTTAGCTTTTAGTTTGTGCTGTTGTAATAAATTAATAACTCGTTGCTAGTGTTACTTAGCACATCGCTAACATACTTCCAAATATTTCAACCACTTTTAGCATTATCACATTTTTAACATGTTGACATCACATGTTTAGCATGTTTTAAATTTGTTTCTAACTTGTTGCTGAGATGTATTAATGTTGTTAGCACATTTTACCACACTGCTAACATGTTACTATGTTTTGATATGCTGTTATCATGTTTAGCTTTTAGTTTTTGTGCTGTTATAGTACTTTAATAAATTGTTATTGTTGCTAATGTTTTAAACCATTGCTAGCATTATTTAGCACGTTGTTAAGATACTTTCAAACCTTGCAATGAATTTTAGTACTTATTTATCATATTTAGTACTTATTTGTTGACATTGTGTTTCTAACATGTTTTAACAGTTTCTAAAGTGTTGCTGAGATGTATTAATGTTGTTAACATGTTTTAACGCACAGCTAAAATGTTACTGTTTTATTGAGTTGTTGTTATACATTAATAACTTGTTGCTAATGTTCTAAACCATTGCTAGCATGTTTTAGCACACTGTTAACATACTTTCAAACAATGCTACCATTTTTAGCACTGTCATGTTTTAACATGTTGATTTAACATTGTTTTAGACTTGTTGCTGGGATGTATTAATGTTGTTAGCATGTTTTACCATACTGCTAACATGTTTTATATTCTGTGACGATGTTTTAACATGCTGTTGTAATACATCAATAACTTGCTGCTTATTTTTTAACACATTGCTAGCATTATTTTGCACATTGTTAACATACTTTCCAACATTGCTACCATTTTTAGCACTACCATGTTTTAACATAGTGACATTGTGTTTCTAACATGTTTTAACATTGTTTCTAACTTGTTGCTGGGATATATTAACGCTGTTAGCATGTTTTACCACACTGCTAACATGTTTTATATTCTGTTATTGTGTTTTAGCCTGTTGTTGTAATGCATTAATAACTTATTGCTTATGTTGTAAAAACATTACTAGCGTTATTTAGCACATTGCTAACATACTTTCAAACCTTGCTAACATTTTTAGCACTATCACTTATGTAACATGTTGACATCATGTTTCTGACATGTTCTAGCATTGTTTCTAACACGTTGCTGGGATGTATTAATGTTGTTAGCATTTTAACCACACTGCTAACATGTTACTATGTTTTATATTCTGGTACCATATTTTAACATGCTGTTGTAATACATTAATAACTTATTGCTAATGTTTAAAAAATAGTGCTAGTGCTACTTAGCACACTGTTAACATACTTTCAAACCTCCTTACCATTTTTAGTACTATTATATTTTTAACATGTTGCCATTTTGTTTCTAACACGTTCTTCTAACTTGTTAGTAGGATGTTTTAATATTGTTAGTGTGTTTTACCACACTGTCACTATGTTTTTATTTTCTGTTACCATGTTTTAGCACATTGCTAAGATAATTTTAAACATTGATACCATTTTTAGCACTATCATGTTTTTAACATGTTGACATTGTGTTTCTAACATGTTTTAACATTGTTTCTAACTTGTTGCTAGGATGTATTAATGCTATTACCGTGTTTTAGTGTGCTGTTTTAATACATTAACAACTTTTTGCTAATGTTTTAAAAATATTGCTATCATTATTTAGCACATTGCTAACATACATTAAAGCCTTGCTACCATTTTCATGTTTTAACATGTTGACATCATGTTTCTAACATGTTTTAACATTGTTTCTCATTTGTTGCTGGGATGTATTAATGTTGTTAGCATGTTTTACCGCACTGCTAACATGTTACTATGTTTTAATATGCTGTGCCCATGTTTTAGCATGCTGTTGTAATAAATTAATAACTTGTTGTTAATGTTTTAACACATTGCTAGCATTGCGTTAACACAATGTTAACATATATTTGAACGTTGCTACACTTTTAACATGTTGTTAGTGTTTTTAACGTGTTAATATTGTCAACATGTTTTATCACATTTGTGGAATGTACTAATGTTGTCAGCATGTTTTACCATAATGCTAACACATTATTATGCTTTAATATGTTGTTACCATGTTTTATTATGCCACTTTAAAAGTCTGATAACTTGTTGCTAATGTTTTAACACAATGGTAGCATTATTTAGCACATTGCCAAAACACATTTGAACATTGCTACCATTTTAACACCTTTGTTTTTAAAATATGGGTTTCTAAAATGTTTTAACATTGCCAGCATGTTTCTAACATGCTGTGGGAATGTTTTAAATTTTTGCTCATGTACATTAGCATGCTGTTAATTTTTTATGATGTTTTGACACTAGTTTTACCAAACTGTTAGTGTTAACATGAATTTGCTAACATGTTTCAGACATGAATGTTGTTAACATGAATAACTTTTTTTATGTTGCTAGCATGTTTGTAACATGTTCAGCACTGTGCAAGAATGAATTGCAATTCCTAACAGTATTTTAGTCAGTTTGTGAGGAAAATAAAACATTGAAAAAAAAATTTATAGATGTCATGGCTACAGATTATTAATAGCCCAGTTTTGATTTAAGGACACAGAACATCATGTTCTTAATTAGTTCAGCAAAAGGGAGTAAAATGGTAAAGATCAGTTTGTTCTAGCCATGACATTTGATTCATGTCTTTTTATTTGAGTAAATATGACTTAGCGTTTGAGATTTTGTTGTAGTTTTTGTGTGCTTATTTGGATTTTATTGATTTTATTTCAGTTATACTTTTAGTTAAAAAGCCTAATTGAAGTTTTGCCTTAGCCACAAATGTGTGTATTTTTATTTCAGGTAATGCTTACCTGCATTTTCTTTGCAGTCAATTAACAAAAACTTTTTTTACAGCTTACTCACATTCTCCAAAGAAATTACTCACATTCTCCGCAGATCCATTTCCATTGAGCACATTACACGTGCTGCCATTTAACAGGCAACAGTTTTCACTCTGTTGAAAACAGTAGAAAAATGTTTCATGTTGTTTGATGAGATAAATCAAGAATTGTGAAGGTCTATAGAAAAACATCAATAGCACAAAAATGTGCATTATACTTCAAAGAAAGACGTTTTTTAGCTGACTGTCACGTTGTAAAAGTCACACTGAATGCCTTTCATTAAAAACCAAAATATCAACCATGAACCAGACTGCTTAAAAAAAAAGTGATCCAAAACCCCCCAAAAAATGTATGAAAATATGTGCAGTCATAAAGAGTCTCTTTGACTTAAATCATAATTTTCAGAAAAATGAAGGAATATGGAGCGAATCCATTAAGGGTTAGTAATGTCATGCCATATGAGCAGCTGAAACTAACAAAATATGAAGGATGAACTCGCTTTTGTTTACCTCACAGAAGGTCCTGTAGCCATCAATGATGGGCCGGTATCCTGTACATCTGCATAAATTACCTGCAAATGGAACATTTACGAATGTTTTAACCATTTTCATGATTTTTTTTAAAAATATGTGCAGTGGTATTTATGTCACTGTACCTGCAAGACACTCTGTTATGTCATCCAAGGTGGGATGTGGGTTGTTTCTTAGCAATGTATACATGGACATCACCATCCCAGGAGTACAGAAGCCACATTGAGACCCATGAGCCTTTGCTATGCGCTCCTGATCAACACAAACAGTAAAAAGATGTCCATGGTAATTAATTCAATTTAATTTATTGAAGGTAAATAAATAATAAGCTATAAAACTACACAGCCACACACAAAATAAGAAAATATCAAACTTATTAAATTAAAGTGACTTTCGCCAAAAAGAAATGATGATGATTATTATTATTATTATTGTTTTTGTTGTTATAATTAATAACACAATTATTATTATTATTGCACCAATTATTTAATATAATAATAATAATAATAATAATAACAACATAACAGAACATAATAATAATAATAATTATTATTATTGCAACAAATTAATAATAATAATAATATTAATAATAATAATAATACACACTTAGAATTTAAATATGACTATTATTTATTATATTTATATATTAAAATGTTGTATATTATTATTATTATTATTATTATTATTATTATATTTTTGAACGTATAAACCTAAATATTTTCATTAAAAACATAATAAAGACATTGCGTAGAAATAATTTAACTATTATGTTTTTATTAATGATAATAAACAACGAAACATAATAGCAATATTAATAATAATATATACACTATACAATAATATATACATATATAAAAATGTTAAGCAAGTACTTTAAATGAAAGATTATTATTATTATTACACCATCATTGAAAGTCTGTGTGAATGTTTATTAGTTATATTACATGTAATATTATATTCTTTAAAAGCATTATGCTGTTTATTACATAATATTATATTAAACATTTGAAATGATAATTATTAATTACTTTATTAACATTAATAATCCAAAGCAATTTCTATTAGGCTTTTCTAATTGATAAATAGTATTATAATTAAATTAAGTACATGTGTGCACTGCTGTGTTATATTACAAATATTATTTTATTGTTTTAATCATTTTAATTATTCTATTTTTGGATAACATTGCATGATGTAACTAACTAATAGTTTAAAAAACTGCATTAGCAAAATAATAGGTAATAAAATAGAGGAATAATTAAGTGACCTAAATACAACCATGGGTCAAAATCCAGCTACAACGGTTTATAATTAAACCGGCTCTAAATTAATACCATAATCTAGACTGAATGTAATCCATCTTATAAAACTAGACTCAAACTCATTTAATATCATAATCTGGATTTAAGGTTATCTAGAATATTATAATCTGGATCCTATAATCTGGATGTGGATTATACAGTGAAGGATACCTGGACCGGGTGTAATTTGGTTTTGGTGTTTCCGATGCCTTCAACAGTTGTCACTGCGGCTCCGTGAAGATGGCAGATGGGAAACAGACACCCGTTCACTGACAAATGACTAAACAGAGAAAAAAAATGCTTCTAACATGCATTCGGTGAAGAGATTTGTGTAACTAATTTATATGCAGAATACACATATATTAGAAGGCCAATCGTCCCACTAAAATTAAAGTTGAGGCTGAATCTTGATTTGCAAAAGCAAAAATATCTGCCATTATATTTCATGTCACAGACATTCATATTATATATATATATTATATATATATATATATATATATATACATACATATACACACATATATACACACACACACATACGGAAGTATAGAGCAAATGGAGTAAAATGAAGACTGTAATACCTGATGCTCTTAGTCTGAGGGTCATATCTGGACACCATGATGGTACAAGCTCCACATCCTCCTCCACCACAGCTGTATTTAGTGCCAGTCAAACGCACTACATACAAAAACATGCATATACAATCGTACAAACACACAGACACACACAAATCTTGGTTATCAATGGTGCAGTAAGTGAATTTTGCCAAACGATGCTATTTGAATGCACCAAAACAAACACGCCCATAACTTACTGCTGATTGGCTGCAAGTGTGTTTTGGGACTTAGTTCAACATTGAGGTCAAAAGCAATTCTTTTAGGTTTATATAAATATTGCTTAGCGCTTGTTTAGTAATAGGCATCATTTCATCACAATTTTAATAACCATTAAAAAAAAAAAATATATATATATATATATATATAAATATATAATGGTTTAATAATAATGGATTTATATAAATAAACATCATCATAGACAGACAAATGTGTGCGAAATCTGTTTAAAGTTGCCTCAGAACAATTTGTGGACTATATTGACACAAAACGATTTCTTATTGTTTACAATTCAGCACAAATTTTGTTATTTTGTTATTAATACTTTTAAAGTATTTTAATATTATTTTTAATACATTTGTGGAGTTAGAGGTGCCTTTCTGAGTATATTTTGTTGTGTATTATTAAGACATGTTCAAGTTTAAGCAAACAAAATGACTATTTAATAAAATATGATATTGCTAGTGTTATTATCATCATTATTAGAATAGATAGATTTTTTTTCGATAGTCTACAGAACAAACAATCATTATACAATAACTTGACTAATTACCTTAACTTGCCTAGTTAACCTAATTAACTTAGTTAAGCCTTTAAATGTCACTTTAAGCTGTATAGAATTGTCTTGAAAAATATCTAGTAAAATATTATTCACTGTCATCATGTTAAAGATAAAATAAATTAGTTACTGGAAATTAGTTGTTAAAACTATTATGTTTAGAAATGTGTTGAAAAAAAATCTTCTCTCGTTAAACAGAAAATGGGGAAAAAATAAACTGGGGGTCTAATAATTCAGAGGGGCTAATAATTCTGACTTCAACTGTAGATAGATGGATAGAATATGAATATCAAGAATGTATAACAGCAGTAAAACAAATGCTAATAATTATGATATTTAGTAGTATCTAGTAGTAATAGTAGTAGTATTTGCATATGCATAATGTAAAATATACATTTTTTCCTCAAATAGGGCAGAAGCATAGTCTCAGGATCTGGGTTCTTCTCCACTATCTGTCAACAACAAGCAGAAACATATGCAGATTACATTTACATTATGCAGATTGTTTCAAGCGCCCTTAAACATTGCTATCTCTATTCAAATTGCTTTCATTGTTATTATTCAGATCATGTTTCTGTCATACTTCATGAATAACATTAAGGATCGAACAGGACCATAAAACGTCACAAAAATTTACAATAAACACATGACTAACGTTAATGATAGGCTACAAAGAAGTGGATAATATGCACAAAACTCACCTTTTTGCCGTTGACATAGAATATCAAGCCATCGTTCCTGGTTTGTTCAGCCATTTTTGCAGTTTATGTACAACGAATTGTTATGTGCTACAAAATGAAGCAAATCTGCAGACTTGGCTCCTCTTGAGATGTCCAGCACCAGTGAAATCAGCTTTATATGCAAAGTGCGAACTTGAAAAAGACAAGAAAGTTTACCAAGGCGGAGCTTAGCCGACTCGAAGTTGGTTGTAAATTGATAAAATGTGAGGATATGAAATAATTACTCACTTCCTGAAACTTCACAATGTGTATTTTGGTCGTTTGACGCTAGTATAAGGCTTAAGTATGCATTTTACGGTCTAAACTGTCAAACAACAAGAAATTTGTGTTGCCACATGTTAATTGTTACTTTTCTCAGCGCTGACGTTGTTAAACTAATTACAACGGTTTATGATAACCTTTAACAAAGTATGATTACGTTACTATCGTTTATTTTTGTTAATTTATTTACTTTGTTTTGTTTCAATCGTTATTACAAAATTTATGAAATTAAACATTTAAATGTTTAATTTTTTGTTGCAAATGTAATTATCTGTAAAAAAAAAAAAAGAAAAGAAAAAAAAGTTCATCTAGATTTTTTTTTCTCCATTAAATAATTTCTACATTTAACAACGAATTCCAATAAAAAAATAAACAATTTCTATCTGGAAATTCCCACTGCGTGTTGTTGGGATTTACTGACATTCCATTACAAAATCCATCGTCCACCGTGAAATTTCAGTTTTACATTTCTCTGTCGCTGGATTTTGACGCTTTTTTTAGTTTGGCATAAAAATTAACTTTTTTATTGCTGAAACCAAGAACATACATACATAACAGTACATAAAACAAAATGACTGTCGACATTGACAAGTGAGACAATGAAAACATTAAAAAATAAAGAAAAGAGAGAAACAAAACAAAAAACATTAAAGATTTGTTTGCAAATAAAAAGGGTTAATTCAAGTTATTTATATTAAGAACTTAAAAGAAGAGCATAATTTAACAGTTTTTATAGAGGATCCAGAAATCAACTTTATATAATTCTCAATATCCTTAATGAAGATCACAAAGGCAGGTTTACTATTTGTGAATTTGCATTTCTGATGGTAAAATTTACCTAAGAAGATAATTAAACTGATAAAAAAAAAAAAAAAATTCTTTCTTGGGGTCTGAGTTAAAATATCTCAAATTTTTCATTTGTATAGAAAATTCTGAAACAATCTTCACCTTAACAAAGAAATCTATTATTTCAAAACTCCTGAATGTAATAACATGACCAAAACAAATGTACTACCGTTTCCTCGGCATTCACACAAAAAGAATTTTGGCAAAAAAAACTATCCAGGACGCTGTAGGCTATTGGCGTATTTGGTGTACTGACCAGCAGATGGCGCAAGAGGCTTTCAAATTAACTGTTGAATAACATCAACATTTTGTTGTTATGTAATGGATGTGTCTATCCAAAAGATGGCGCTAGAAGCAATAAACTACCAAATCCGGCTGAACAGGTAACTTTTTATCTTCCACAATCAAAAATATTTTATCTCAGTGTTCACTTTCACATTTTTAGTTGATCAGTAAACAGATTGAAAACATTCTCAGCAGTATATTTATTCAAAAACCATGTCAATATCCATTTTTCTATTAGAAGACCACATTTTTTTTAAGTTTATGACAGGGGTGTCAAAATTGGTCCTGGATCAGAGTCCTGCAGATTTTAGATCCAACTTGCCTCAACACACATGCCAGGATGTTTCAAGCCTAGTAAGAGCTTGATTAGCTAGCCCAGGTGTGTCTGATTGGGGTTGGAACTAAACTTTTCAGGATACCGGCCCTCCAGGACTTGATTTGTACACATCTGGCTTATGACTGCTCATTTTAGTTGATCAGTACCTGTTTGAAAACGTTTAAATGTCTTGAAAATATGTAGGCTAAATAACTATAATTGTATATCAATACATCATAGTTTTCATTTGTCCATTACAAGACTCCACATTTTTGGTTTTTGAGTCAACCTCTTAAAACATTAATGAGCCTCTAAGAGCTGAAACCGTGTCAATAGATTGTGTTTGCCCACTATCTGTGTCTGAAAAAAAGGGAAAAAAACACACAGGGCCCCTGCTGTGCCCCCCCTGTGAGGTGTGATCAGGGAAGCCCAACAGAGATTACAGCAAGTTAATACTCTACACTGTCAGAAATCTCTACCCACAGGCGCTTTAGGATTAGCTAACACGCTAACACACATATCGGCCAGCAAAACAGGCACATGTGCACTTACACGCAAGAGACCACTCTGACAAAAACAAACTGGACTGCTTAAACACACACATAAAAAAGGTGTTAAATGAATTACATTAGTCGTAAGTAGTTTGACCACTAGATGTCGCTCATGTTAACACTTCTATTGAGTGATACTGCAAACAGAAACATTTTATTATTTAATATTATTGTATATAACTTTTAGGTACATTTCAGCATCTTTACTTGTCTCGAGTGTCACGTGATCCTTCAGAAATGTGTATAATATGCTAATTAACTTGGGAAAAATATCCTATGCTCTAAATGACATTTTGTTTATTTCAAAAATTAAAACAAATTGGTAGACTACTCATACTTTGAGAAGTAAAATAAATAATAGTATACTACTTGCATTAAATTTTTTGGCAAGTAATGTTTTACTCAAACGCATACCTAATGAATCCAGAAAAACTGAGAATTTTCTCTTATTTTTTGTGTGTCATTTCTGTTTTATCAGACTAAATCAGGTTAATGAATAGTTTTAGTGCAGTACTGCAGCATTTGAGAGAACATCCTAAAGGTTAAGCTAAACTCAAGGTTACACATTGCTAATCATGGTGATGGAATGTTACTCTCGCTCGACATGAGCAAGAGTCTTCGATTTCTTGACAATCATGGCTAATGGCTCACTTCAGCAACTTTGCTTTTACTACCTCTCAGCTTTAGCGTTCTACCATAGAGAACTGCTCGTTTTAATCAAATAAAGTTTAGTTACATTTAGTTTAGTTGATTGCCATATTTGTTGTTTAGTTGATGTGAACGTAGCGTATCTAACTAGAAGGATAGCATGACAAAACTGTTTTAATGTTTAGAGCAGCAGATAACAATGAAGTCAATTGACAATGGTTTGAAAAAAGGCCTATAATCAAAAAAGTGAAATATTTTCAAACAAATATCTGATTAGCATCTATAAAAATAATTTCCATACAAACCAGAAATCATTTTATTGTTCGTCGTACTATTAGCGTTGTAAATAAAATTAATAATTCAGCCAAAACTGAAAATTCTGTCATCATTTACTCACCCTAAACTTGTTTAAAACCCTTATGAGCTTTTCCATCTGCTAAACAAAAAAGTAGATGTCCTGAACAAGTTGAAAACCTGACTTCCATATTTGTGTTTCTTACTATGGAAGTCAATGGTTACAGGTTTCCAGATTACTGTTGAAGATTTTTAGGTTTTTAACAACTTCCGAATGAGTAAATATTGAGTACTTTTTTCAGGTTTGGGTGAACTAACCGTTTAAGAGTTGTATTTTACTAACAAATATTAAGTACAAAATAATTATTCCAATACATTTTTTTAATTTCATTTTTATTCTTATATTAAGTCATTTGTTATCAGGGTTGGAGAAAGTTACTTTCTAAAGTAACTATTTAAAAGTAACTATTAGTAATCTGTTAGTAACTGTTACTATACTATACTAACTATATTACTTTTAAAAGTAGCATTTCCCAACACTGTTTACCATGTTTTTAACATCGATTAGCATAATAGTTTTACTTTATGGGATATTAGCTTTACAATTTAGCTATTTTTGGTCAAACTTAGCAGATTTTTAAAACATATATATTTTTAGGGGTTTTCACCTTTAATGACAGGACAGTGGAGGTTGTGACGGTGATAGCTTGCAGCTGGAAGGGCATCTGCTGTGTAAAACATATGCTCGATAAGTTGGCGGTTCATTCCACTGTGGCAACCCCAGATTAATAAAGGGACTAAGCCAAAAAGAAAATGATTGAATGTACAAAATATATACTGGATCCATTGAAAAGTACACATTTCTCTTCATTCCGCCAGAGTTAAGATCTGTTGAGAAGTGTGTGTACAGAGTTAAATTTGTCCATGTTCTGCTCCTTTCTTTCTTTAGTGTTTCTCCATCCCATCCCCCTCTTATATGAAACTAAAGACACACATCTGCTTTCTATCACACCTTTACGACCATGACAATCGCTCCCTTTTTTCATCTCATACTCCTTTCATCTTCATCCAGTTTCTTCACTCAATATCTTCTTTACCTTTTGCTCTTTGTTTATATTTTTATAATCTACTGCTTTGTGTGAACCCAGTAACTTAAATAATTACCACTTTGGAGCTGTGTTTAAGGGAGTGTGTTTGCTTACCTTTGTGTGTGCATGTGTGTGCATGTGTGTGTTTGTGTGTGTGTGTGTGTGTGTGTGTGTGTGTGTGTGTGTGTGTGTGTGTGTGTCTTTAATCATAGTCTAAAGAAGCGGAGAAGCTGACAGAAGCAAACTACTGTTTGGCTGGCCACAGTTAGCACAGGACCTTAGTGAACACAGTTACAGTGGATTCTGTCAATATAGAAATTATCTTTTTTTTTTTTTATGAAGTGATTTCTTTCAGAGTTGATTTTACTGTACTGTACCTTTATTTTTTTGTTTTATTCTAGATAGATTTTTACTTAGTGTGATCACATACAGAAAAAAATAAATTCATAACTTTGCCCATAAGTACTTATTTGCTAAAAAACATTTTTTAAACCATTTAAAACTGCATTTAAAAATCAAATACTGTATTTTCCCTTTTTTATATATATTGATTTATTATATTTTTGAAAAAAATTTATTTATATAGACGATAAACATATCAGCAATTAAAAGAAATGTTTGTGTAATTATTTTGTATGAAAATAAATTTAAACATTCCCGCGCACTATTAATACTCGCTCAGTTTTATTAAATTATAATTTGGAAATTGAACCATAACATTTAATAAAACTTTTAGCGATATCGATTAGTATTGTTTTTTTGAAACATTTTTCAATACATATTGATTGATATCTAAAAAAGCAGTTGACTTTACAGTTTTCTACTGTTACATTTTTTTGTGAAACTGGTCCGAAGTGGCATGATTATTTCAGCCGATGTGGCTTGTTTAGTCGGCTGGTTATGTGTGCTTTCCACAAAACATTTTTCACCATGTTTACAAACACATGCTTAAGTCCATTATTATCTGAGCTGCAGTTGCCTGTTAGTCATGATGGAGGGAAACAAAGACCAGCCTGTTTATAGGCTGATCAATTCGACAT